CGTGAATGATAATCATTCTGTTTTTATGTTTTTCTATTTTTTTGTTTCCAGGAACAAATTTGGAAAAGAAATCATTTTGGCAACGCAATTTCATTTTTCTACTTTCGGGATATATTTATAGCTCAAAAATAGGATTAGAACAAAAATAATAAGTATAAATTTTTCACATTTCAATTTCTGCAACAGAAACAAAAATAACAATTCTTTTCAGAGCTTGCCCTCACCGCCCAGGCTTGCTACCTGCCGGCGGCCGCCATCACCCATTGCTGCCACAGCCGCCTGTCGCTCGCCCGCTGATGTATGAATTTTACATCAACGCTATCAAATGAACTTCTGTTCCGAGAACGGAAATTGTGTGTCGTTATCAATTCTACTTTCTGCTCAGAAACTCGTCTAATAAATAAAAATATAAATTTCTTGCCAGAAATTGGGTCTAGGAACATAATGATTATCATTCGCGCCCTTATAATTATTAGAGGGCTTTTTAGATGGTCGAAAAGCAAGGAGAATATCTCAAGATTAGGATAGAATTACTTCGATGAGTTAGTAGTATCCATATCCTTTTACCAACAATCAAGTACTAACACATTGAAGTTCTCGATGCACTAATGTTTGAATGACCTAGCAAAGTCAATTGCAGATGCGACGTCCTTTACCTCTAGGGTGTCCGGTTGTTGGGCAATGAAAATGATACCTCTCTTGAAAAGAAAACTCGTCATGCATCATTGATCTGACCTCTATTCGTTACATCAAAAAGCTTGAGAGGATATGGTGAAATGAAGATACTAATGCTATCGAAAGTTGGATTTCAGATAGGAAGATTCCACATTTCCATCAAGGTGACACATGACTTGCTAACAAAATTGAAGTACTTGAAGGTATTTCCGTTATGTCATTGTTCCATCATTGTATTGGTGAGTTAAAACATTTTTGATATTTTATACACTAATATCGAAAGGCTATTTACGTATATTGGTGCCTTGTGCAAATTATGGTTGAGCGCATAACCACTCTTTTTTGCAATAGCCATGGTAAAGCAAATATCAAATGAGTTCACTTGGTAAAGTGATTTGTTTAACTTTAAATGAATACTTAAGCGAGTTATATTTAAAAATCCGACAACTCTTCGAAAATTTCATTTTATACATAAAATTTTGCTAACCAATCTTATATTTCTCGTATTATTCAAGGGAGAAATAGCATGTGATCAGCCTCTACTGACTGATTAATTGGAGGAATTGGATCATTGAAACCAGGAGGGGCAAAGAGAGCTCCCGCCAATTTTGCAGGTGGTGACAATTCCCAAGAGAATGGCAAAAAGAGAGCCTCCACGAGAGACTAAATAGGGGCCTGAAGAAAAAGCTTCAACATTTACCTAACTCTGATCTCCCATTCGCTTGAAATGCATTATTTTTTTCTCTTCCTATAAAACCAAATCAAACCCAACTCTTATCTTATGAACAGAGTCTGTTTACTTACTAAGCTTTTCCCTTTAGTCAGAGTGTGTGTAGCTCAGTTTCAAGCCAACCAACTTCAACCTGACATATCAAAGTCTGCCATCATTCTTTTGCATTTGGAATTTTCTCATTCTTTGAGCTAAAAAAATGGAGGCTGTATCCTTCAATTCTCTCTCGGTTGCGCTGGATAAGCTAGCAAGAAGAGTGTCGTGTAAGCATGACCGGTACTCATTGAGCAAGAAGAAGAGTCTAACATGCTGCCAAGGCAGTGGCAATGCAATCAAGTCCACCGTTCCGAAAGACAGGTCTGTGTCGGTTTGCGCCAACCAAAGCAGTGCTCTGATAGATACAGGAAGCATGGTTACGTCTCCAAATGGGAAGAGTCAGGCAGAGATTTGTGTGAAGGATTTGGCGCCTTATGCTGGGCACACCCACTCTTTAGTGGAGATGGATGATGGCATTGGAATTGTCAGATTTTTTAGAGGGAAGAGATTTTTCATTACTGGTGCAACTGGGTTCTTGGCAAAAGGTGAAAAGTGAACCTTTTTCCGAGCATATACCTCTTGTTTGTAAAGTTTCTCTGTTCTTTTTTTTGCTGGAAATTGTTAAATATCTCTATTGTTAATCATTCTCAATGTACTGATGTCCAGTTCTTGTCGAGAAGATCTTAAGGACCGTCCCGGATGTGGGTAAGATATTTCTCTTGATGAAAGCGAAAGACAAGGAAGCTGCGATGGCAAGGCTATCAAGTGAAGTATGCCTCTCATGCTTCTGAATTGTCTAAAGTTACAGCCTACATCTTATCAACCATATTTATGTTATTCTCTAAAGATTAAATTTTTCGTGCATGGTTGGGCGCAGATAATATATTCAGAGCTCTTCAAGGGCCTTCAACAAACTTATGGAAAATCTTATGAACCTTTCATGCTGAGCAAGCTAATACCTGTGGTTGGAGATATTTCTGAATCGAACCTTGGGTTAGGAGATGAGTTGGTTGACTTCATTGCAAATGAAGTGGATATCATTGTAAATTCAGCTGCGAATACCACATTCGACGAGAGGCATGTGATTTCTCTTTTTTTTCTCCTTCAGCCTCTTGGTTACATGGATCCATTGATAATGTCATCTACTGGCAAATTTTTCTGCTTGGCTGAAAAAAGGGGGATAGGAAAAGCTATACACGGCACCCTTCCCCTTATAAAGCGCCAATGAAATGATCCATTTCTATATAATCCTACAGGTACGACATTGCTATCGACGTTAACACCAAAGGCCCATACCATCTCATGAGCTTTGCAAAGAGATGCAGCCAATTAAAAGTCTTCTTGCAAGTTTCTACAGGTAAATATTGTCGGGACGACTTTCTTGGTGTAACAGTTATGGCCTAAGCCTTTTCTGAACATTTTTAAGGTGTATCTAAATAGTTAATTGATATCTTTTTGGTTAATAGCATATGTCAATGGACAAAGGCAAGGGAAAATTATGGAAAAGCCATTCTGCATGGGAGATAGCATAGTCAGAGAAAGTTACAGTGCTGAACCACCAACGTCTCTTCCTCAATTGGATGTGGAAAGTGAAATTCATTTGGCTCTAGAGTCAAAAAAGGCTTTGGAAGATCACGCAGTGGCTCAAAAGATGAAAGAACTGGGTCTGAACAGGTGATTTGTAATCATCTTCTGCTTGCTACTTAACTCTTTCGCACTTGATTTATGCATGACAGACAGATATCAATGAAAAGTGATTGCTTTAGGACTAGGAATCCGAATGACATTGTTATTGATTTATGACAATGGCCAAAATCAGGGCGAAGAAGTTTGGATGGCAAGATACTTACGTGTTCACCAAAGCTATGGGAGAGATGCTTATTGACGACATGAGAGGAGAGGTTCCGGTCATCATAATCAGACCTAGTGTCATTGAGAGTACTATAAAGGAGCCATTTCCAGGATGGATGGAAGGAAATAGGTACTTCATCATCTATTCAAATTATGGGACTGTTCTGTTGATGCCATATCCCCCAAAAACAAAAAGAAGAAGAAGCTAATCTTTGTTATTAAATTTCAGGATGATGGATCCCATCATCTTGTACTATGGGAAAGGACAGCTCACCGGATTTCTTGTCGACCCGGATGGAGTAATCGATGTCGTAAGCAATAGCAACCTCTTTGATGATCTCTCCAGGACTCCTAAAACTGTCAAAACATTCAAAATAGCAAGAAAAAAAAGAATGGTCGTTTGTTCACATGATACAGCCATTACACTTTGCTAAGAAAAAGTTGTGTTAACAAGAGCTAATATGACTTGGTTTACAAAGTTCAAGGCCAAAAACTGTCATAGAAAAACTGCCAAAAATGCTAGCTTCTTCACTTATTAGGAAATGTTACATATCTTTGACATACTATTAGTTGAAACATTAACAAGGGATGTCTACCATTCTCAAGGTTCTTGCAGAAATCATCGTTGAAAAACATAACTTAATCAGTCTAATTGGCCAACCGGTGATGTTTCTGCTACTAATCTTTTAGGTACCGGCTGATATGGTAGTCAATGCTACCTTAGCAGCCATTGCAAGACATGGAATGGCCGGAAAGTCAGGAATTAACATTTATCAGATCGCTTCATCGGTCGTGAACCCACTTGTTTTCCAAGATTTGGCTAGACTGCTCTATGAGCACTACAACACTTCGCCGTGCTTAGACTCAAAAGGTAGACCAATCCCGGTCCCATCGATGAAGCTATTCACTTCCATGGACAAATTTTCAGCTTATCTTAGTGGAGATGCTAGTCAGAGAAGCGAGTTGAGAGCCATGACCTCAAACTCAAAGCTGTCCAAAAAACTTGAAATTGTGTGTCGTAGATCGGTGGAGCAAGCAAAGAAATTGGCCAACATATATGAGCCCTACGCATTCTACCGCGGAAGGTTAGTAACTCAAGCTCTCATAGTTATATTAATCAGTGATGAAATCAACTACATGTTGGTCAAGGACAAAAAGGATAGTTTTTAAATCAGCCAGCCCAACTCTACATTTTATTCCACTATTTTCCCCTAATGTGCATAAAAAGAAATTTTTTCTTATCTTCTTTAAGAGAATGCACTGAACTTAACGTGGATTTCATTTCTACCTTAACAATCCCAGGTTTGACAACAGCAACACTGAGCGACTGATGGAAAAAATGTCTGAGGAAGAGAAGAGGAGATTCGGGTTCGATGTTGGGAGCATTGACTGGAAAGATTATATCATTAACGTCCATATTCCGGGTCTGAGATGGCACGTGATGAAAGAGAGAAGGACGTTTAGTTAGAAGGAACGGCACACCAGGTTCTATAACAGTATTTAATGTAATAAAATGGGTGTTAATTACATCTGAAAAGCAAATGAAGACAAGAAGTAGTCAATTTTTACCATTGCTAGACTATGGTCCATCCGTTACAGACACTCATGTGGCCATTCTTAAGTACTTCTACTAGGATCACTCAATTATGTTTCACAATAACAAATAATTGATTATGTTTATGATGTCATCCATTGGATAATTGGCTACTGAAGAGAATCATATCAAACCTATACCCATAGTTAAATCTGATGATCTCCTGTTCTTTGCAACAAGCACAATGTTATTGAAATAAGAGCAGAAACAGAACTGCACAAGGGGGACTTCACTAAATTTAAGTTGCTCGAAAGGCTTTTAGTTTTACTGAAGTTGCATGCAATGCCTAGACTTTTGCGCAAACTGAAAGATAAAAGAATAGCAGCAGAATTATCGCTAATGAATGCGAGAGAGTAGGAAAAATCTCATCTCCTTTGCCAATATTTCATATCAGAAATCCTTCTAGTCTCCAGATAAACACCGAGGGCAGTCACACCTGAAGCCAAACCCTTGGGACAGAAGACTTTGCCGTGCATCCCGATCAAGACTTGCATCAATGTAGCAAATTCTAAGTTCTTCGCCTGCAAAATACCCTTCTAAGATTGCAACACAGAATTGACCTTGCTAAAGAAGAACCAGACTGGGCAACATAACAACAGTCAGCTGGACAACTAGCCTGTTATTTCCCATATAATTGTTATCATAATAAATTATAGTGAATTGTAATAGATGAAGCCAACAGTCTGACACATGACCACAATGGACAGTCTAATCTCAAGCTCCATCACGAGACCCATAAAACTATAATTGCTAATCCATTCATCTCATGAATTACATAGCAGGTACACGGGTAATATTCCATGCTTTTCTACACCATGATTATATCCTCCCCGTTTGGACATGATGATGGTATCAGATCAGACCATCCATCGACATACTCTAGCCTCCTTGTCCTTGCAAATTGTCAAATTGCAAATCGAACGCTTTCTGTACTAAATGCCCACAGACTCACAAATGGCCCATATGCCAAAGGAACTGATGAATTTGGACACTATATAAATACTGTCTCAGGCTCTCCGCATCTTCATACCCAATGAAAATACAAAATCCCCCTTTTCATGCATTGTACGAGATAACTTGGCAGTGCATGGGCTGCACTTTCAGGAAACTGACAGCCCAAGGGAAAGCTACTAATGGCTAGAGTAATAATACAATCTCCTCCAATAACTTACTAATCACAAATGACGCCAGTGGAAACTAAGATACTATATGGACTCGGACAAGAATGTCCATTTGAGCGATAAGCAAGAAAGAAAATGCAATATACTAAAGTGATGCTGCATAAATTTACTGTAAATGAGACAAACCTGGCTCAATATCTCGAAGGGCCTTCAATCTTGCAACTGCATCTTCTAACCATATAATATGCGTATTTGGATCTGCAAGGAAAACAATACAATTCTTCTAAATAGCTGATTACAAACAGAGGCCAAAAAAAGTTCAGTCGCTCCTTGGCAAAACTTTATCCCAGAAAACTCCAGTTTCTAATTCAAAAATCAGACTAAAAACGCACTTTTTTTCACAGAAACATCAAAAAGCAGAGGCCAAGAAAAGCTCAATCACTTCTCTCATCATTCTGCCAAGGTGCATGTATATCGTTTTTTCCTCAGTAGCATGTAAATTTATTATTTAAATTATCAAATTTTTATACGAAAAATCTACATTTGCTATTTTTTTTTTTATTTTTTTTTTGGGTCAAACATTTGCTAATTCAAAAGTCATGATTAACATACACTTTCTTTCACGGGAGTTGGGACTTATGTGGCCAGCCATCTAGGGGCTAATTGATCAAACATCCACCATCGTCAAAAGCGACCAATTTTGAATATCTCTCTCTCTCTCTCTCTCTCTCTCTCTCTCTCTCTCTCAAAAGTTTGTGCTGCACCGCTGCAACAATTATCAGGAAAAGGAGCAGGGAAGTACCACAGTCATGATTGTAGAATGAAGGAAGCATGTAAACCGCATTTCCAACAGCAGCTTCAGCTTCTACAGATGCCGCGGCCATTGAAAGTAAATCCTCAAACAATCCTCCAACCACCTCTACACGAAATGCATTTATACGAATCCGTGCAAGCAACGCAATGTACCATTGCTTAGTCAGAACTAGAAATGTCAAAGACAATCATTCTCATAAGAATGACAAAGCGTAGGATACGAAACAAAGAAGGAAAAATGAAAATTAGTGTTGCATGAAGGATACATGCTATCTGCTCATCCTTCACATGAGCATCTGTGAAGGCACACTTCAGCAATCTGAACCCTTCCTCCATCTAATCACATTAATTCGGAAGTCAAAGGAAGTCCCACAAGATTTCCTGCTAATTGTTAGTCGATAAATTCTATACATAAGCATTGAGAGTATAGAAAGTGAGTCTTCCTTATTGTTGTTGCAACTATCTTATGATACAAATAAAGATACAATCTGCAGCATCTCTAAATCTGATGAATTCTTTTTTCAAATGTTGAAGACAATTTCCAAAATTGGTCTTAAAAAGTTTCAAACTTGCACCTTACAAATTCATAAAGGAAAGCACATTATGCTTTTCATGGAAATGGTAACGCTGCACATAGCCTTTTTGAGAACCAAAACAGCACCAAACAAATTTAAAGAGAAGCATTCAATTGTCAAGGGCTAAGGCTTTTCATTAAAGAAGACACGTCAACAATATGATAAAAGGCTCCCATGCTTCTAATTTAGTCCCAAACATTATTTATTACAATAAGAAAAATCAGTGCAGAAGAGGAAACATTATAACAGTTTAATAAAAATTTTATAATAAACCACACATCTACAGACTTGAATTTTCAGATTAAAAGAAGTCAGCTACAAGGTTCTCACCTCAGATATCATCTCAGGAGACAAATAAGCAGGTTGAAGTATGTCAAGGCAGTCGCTGGATGTTGCGCCTGATATAATCATACAAGCTAGCCGTTTTACCAGGAGGGGATATTTCAAACCTTGGGTGCTTTGCAGAGCAATAAATTAAGTTATAAATCAAGATGATAAAAACCCCTTAAGAACTCGAGCTATTTCATCACAAGATAATAATACCAACTTAACTATTGAATGCTATTGAATGCTCTTCGACCAAAAAAAAAAATATTGGATGCACTACTCTGAAAGGAAAGTTTTTCCACTCACACAAAACATAAAAACTGGTGCTTTGATGGTCTTTGCTTGCTTTCAAATTTCATAGAGAGGAACGAAACCATTAATTCTTTTGTTAAGAGGTTGGACTGTAAACCACGCTTAACCAAAATTTAAAGCAACTCTAATTAGGAAAAAGCCATTGAGGCTTTGACAGATCAGACTAAAATCCACCGTGCTTCTTTTATAACAGCTTAAATGAGACCCTTGCATGGTCGCTTTTGCTAGATATGGGCAATTACTTTTCATGAATCATACGAGAACCAGCATTGGGTCCCAGGAAAAGCACCTGGGTTGATGAGATTTCTAAACTGTAGTTAGTTCTCTTCTGTCAGCAAAACACTAACCAAGACCATACCAGATTTTTCTGCTACAACCATGAAAGATTGACACGTGACCTGCACATGCAACCTCAGCAGCATATGCAGTCAAAACAGGTGAACCTCAATCAGGATGCAGATAGGCAGACAGAAAAGGAACAAAAAGTTCTCGTGGTGGCTTCTGTCTGTTGCCTAGTCGCAGCCACATGTAGTACAGCGTGCGAGTCACCATAACTGGCTGGTGATGGAATCTACTTCTGGAAGCCAACAACAGCAACAAGACTAGAGATACTTCGTACCGACAATAACCATCGTGGAGTGACCAGTCTGCCCTTGTCTCGACTTCATGAAATGCCTGTGCACCAGTATCGAAAATGATATCGCATAAGATTCATTAGAGCGACGAAATGTAAGATAAATTCAAAATTTAAAGCCGTTCTTTTGTAAGTGAACCACAACTTGCTATGAAGACAGTAAGACAATATATATTGCGATTAACGTCATGACCATCCACGTATCAAAAGTCCCTCCCCCCAGCCCGGCCATGCGAGAACCACTCTACAGCCGACTCGCCAATTTACACAGTCACTAGCCGTTCAATACGTCTTGGCAAAACTACAAACAGCTCGCGCGCGGTCTTTCGAACAAGCGAACTTATTTGGCTCGACTTATCGACTGCACGCACAACCAAAAGCTTAAGCAGCCACTATACCTGGGAGCGTGCTCTGCAGTCATCGCTGCAGAACGACGCCGCACGAGCCGGAGAGCGCGAGCTGTTCAGTTTCCTGAGGCAGAAGTAGCAGACGGCGTGGAGAGAGTGGAGAGAGGGGTGAGACACGACCGGTTCGGCCGTGTGGATGAGCTCGCCGGCTCCGATCCGCCGAGCTGCGTAGACCCCTCGGCCGGCCGACTCGGTGAGCCCGACCCGTACCGGAGGCGGCCCGGGTCGAGCCGGAGTGCGGGCGCCGGGCGAGCCCGCGGATGCGGCGGAGGAGAGGGAGGCGAGCCGGGGGAGCGCGGTCGGAGAGCGCAGCTTGTGCGAGCGCGAGTGAGCGCGGCGACCGTAACGCGACAGCAGCGACATTTCGTTCGCGACGTACGCGGAGCGACGGAGCGACGGAGACGGAGACTGCTTGCTCGCTAACTGACGTCGCTCCTGGTCGTTACTTACTGTTTTCTTTCTCATTTTTTGTCGAAATGTGCCTGATTCGCAAATGATTAGTACAATGATACCTGAACTTTTAATTTATTTAATGTGATCCTTAAAATTTTGGTGCACGTTCAATTTAGTCCTTGCATTTTATAAAAATATTTAGTGTTATCCCTAAACTTGATTTAATGGAAAGAAAATATTGAATATTTTCATATAGTTTATAAATTAAATTGAACATATATCAAAAATCGAGGGACCGTATTGAACAAACAAAAAGTTCATGGATCATATTACATATTAGGGTAAAGTTTAGAGATCACATTTAACAAATTAAAAATTCATGGATTACATTGCACATTATACCAGAATTTATGGACCATTTATGTCATTATCTATTTAGTATTTAGCAGGCAAAATTATACATGCGCTCTTCCAAATAGAATCGTTGAATCGAGGGTCGCATCTCGGTCTCTTGCATTATGTTCTCAACGTCCTAAGAATTCGAGGATCATATGACTATATAAGACAGATACGCCATCTCACGTGAACACTCACTTTTAAAGGATTGGTTTTTAGTCTTCACATGCCATTAATTTATGACGTAGACCATCTTATACACAGGATCCATCCACATAGCGGCAAGTACAGAGCATACCTGCGGAACCAATCCTTCTTGTCGGACCAAAGGTGTTAGTCTAAACTTCTAGAGGCATCATTCGGTCGATCGAAACTCGTGAGATTCGATGATACGACTGTACTTTTCGTCCTGAAATTTGAATCGATGCGGGTTATCCATTCCGGAGGAGAATGATTCCTATCCCGACCAACGAATGTCCCTCGTGTGGGGGAGATCAGCTGTCTAGGGGACCGACGTAGGAAACTGAAAGTCGGGGAAAAGTCGAGCAATGGTGGGTACAAAAAACGGGTGGTACCATGAGGGCGGGCAGCAGTTTCCAAAGCAAAAGCAAAAGAGAAAAGAAGTGGAGGAGGAGGAGGCTGAGCGGACATGATTACAAAGACAGAGAGAGATGTGGATGCGTGACCCGCATTGCCTCCCTTCCAAGTTCCCTCCTAAGTTTTCTCTCCACCTGAAGTGAACCCAGAACCGGTCTTCGATGGAGACCGGAGGAGACCCAGGTAAAACCCTTCCCCCACGCGCTCGGCGGCATCTGCCACTTACCTTCTTCGTTCTTGGTCCCGAGTGTTTAAAAGTGTTGTCTGCAATTTGCACGCCTAGAACCAGATTAGCATCACCACTTGGCGCAGAAGAACCATGTTTTTTGGCCCAAAAAAAAAGAGATAGAAGGGCTCAAGGAATTGAGTTGAAGATGCTATTCTCTAACGTGACCAAGTGCACTTTTGTGGTCATTTGGTTTTTGATCGCTTTGGTGTTGTCTGAGATGGGGAATGAATGGGAAGTTTCCATCTCAGTCATTCCCGTCCAAATGTGGAGAATTCTTGACCTTGCACCGTTTTGCGTTCTTGGGTGGAGATACTTTCGGACCTCCGGATGGCCGAGGGATTGGGATGACGGGTTCGTCAATCTCCGACGTTTGAGTTTCGAGTGAATCGATTGAGCCGTGGCTCAAATCGAATATTAAGAAGCAAATGTGAGATCCTTATAATAACTCTAAAGAAAGTACTTAAATTATTATATTTTGGTTCTCTCTCTGACAACCTACACTTGAGCATGGTGAGGGTCATCAAATATATTTGAAGATAATATTCGATAACCCATATTTAGGCTAGTAATTTTCGATAGTGACTCTTGACAAAACATACAGAGAAGAGTACACATGTTAATGCACTTGTATAATCTCAATCATGCTGAATAACATGCATGTAAACTATGAATTGACCATTTTATCCGTTTATAACACGTTTGGACTGTTCAATTAAATAATTCAAAATGTTCCTTGCATGTAACCAGAAATAAGTATTTTTATATATAATAGCATATCTTAAATATATTTGTGTTGTTTAATCCATTGAATTAGCATGTTATGTTTGGGTTTTAATGCCATGGCATAATCAATTAATCTTTTGTGTTGGGATTAAATCTAAATTTGACATAACCCAAAGTATATGAACGAAATTGACCAATAATAATGATAAGTTCTGAACTAAATGAAATATTCTTTTCATGTCAGCAAGTTCCGTCAATACTTTTTAATGGAAGACCACATCAAACCGCTGAACCACTTTTTAAAAGTTCATAAAAGGCAGTAAACAAAAGAAAAGATTATAAATGACATAAACAATACATAAATGGTCAAGGGCTATTAGTGTTATTACCCCTATATATTAATATCGGACATTATTTTTTTTAAAGTGTCAAGTTATAGAAGATTATGTACCGGTGGTATCGTGGTCACCAAGTGATACCAAGCTTTTTCGTAAGTGTTTTGGGGGCATCTCGATTTAAGATTTCAATCGCAATAAATTCTCGATGTTAGAATAACCTTCGTTAATCTGTAAATATGGATTAAGTTAGCGTTAAGCTTGCAACTCCGTACGCAAGCACTTATATCATGATGCGATTGTGTTTACGGATTTATCCTTTCGATTAATAGTTCTGGCTTGCTTAATTTTTGTCAATTATCATGAGGGGAAACCCACACCCTCCTCGCTTGCGCTAGTAGCGGCGGGTGTGGATCTCTCACAGAGTGGTATGGGGGGCTCAACCCCTAGCTTGAAGAAAGTTTGAAGAGCAATGCATGTCGAAGGAATCGAACTCGTATCGGGATTCAAATCAGCACCGCCAACTGCAACGCACCTCGCGGGCCTTCTCTTGTCAACATGCCTGATTAATAGCTTCAAGAAAAGAGCAAATCTCGCTCTCAGATCGTAAAATCTTGTAGTTTTTGGTACTTTATGATATTTTTATACGGGTGTTACCGAAAATATAAGTAGTTACCAACTTAGCACCGGTTACGGTCGGACGAATGAACTATGTCACCGTAAAACCACGGGCTCTTGAGTGTATAAACAAGTAGTGCTGCGAAAGAGAAAGCTGCTCACCAATGGTGCGCCCATTATCTTTTCTGTATAGCCCCCCCCCTTTTATCACCATTGGAAAGCAACGTGACAGCCATCATTTTGATTCCCTCCTCCTCGCTAGAAAAGCCATTCTGGTCAAGTCGTTTTTTTTAAGAGGCAACACTGTTCTAAGGTAAAAAGAGAAGATTGCATTTATAAAGAAAAGCTCTCGCTCCTTTTTCCTGAGACCGTGTGAACTGATGGTCTGCAACCTTTGCCAAATTCCCCAATTAGCAAAAGCTCCCCACTTTTCTCTGCTTTTTTGGCTTTACAGCCACCAACTCTACTGAAGTGCACGCGCCAGTAACTGCGTTTTGTGCTCTGAAAAGCCTCTTGACTCTCTCTCTCTCTCTGCCTCTCTCTCTCTCTGTCAAGTACTCTCCTTCCCACTCGGTTTCTTTGAGGATCCCACGGTTTCCCACAAGACAAGCGCACACGCGCACTGTGTCTCGGTCTCCGTGCAAGGAAGATGAGTCGTCTCGCTCCGGTTTCTGAAGAGCCCGTTGACGAGGAGAGCACCAGGGACTGCTCCAAGAGAGGCCGGTCATGGAGGGGCTGGCTCAGGACCCACCTGTCTTTTGCGTTCAGCAAGAAGACCAACCACCTCAAGGTCCTCCTCAGCGTCCTGGGTTGCCCTCTTTTCCCCGTCTCCGTGCATCAAAGGACGCCGGTCAATGAGGTGAGTTGACTCGACGAGTCGTTCCTCTTGCTGTGTTTTCCTCTGTTGGTGGTGTACTCTGCGACTGTAAACATGGCATTGCATGTTTTCGGAAGGCAAAGGTAGGATAGGCAGGATTTTTCTTTTCTGATGGCATCTTTCTTTTTTGTGTTTCCCCTCGCTGAAATGAGAAAAAGGTATTGCTTTCTGTTTGTGCGTTTTACACTTTGATCAGTAAGAAAAAGTTCTCGTGTCCCATGAAGAATTACTGAATCTGAATCATTTTAGCGAGCCAAAATTCAGATAGGCGGCCTAACATGGGTTGAATGCAAATCAATGCAATTGTGACAGAAAGCAGGGGAAGGGGGAAAGAATCATAAAAAGGTCTCGAACATTTTTGTGCTGCACTCGAAAAGTACTCCTGCTAAGCAAAGAGGGGTTAAACGAATTGTCCTGTCTTCTTCTTTTGTGAAGCTTAAATTGGAGTCCTGAGCTTGAGCATTGAATTAGGATCAAGTTGGGACGAACCTGACTAACTTCCTGGATGCTCTCTGGTCAGCAATTGAAACTTTGAAAGCTCGAATTGTATAAATTTTCGTCCGCTTGTATCGACTCGCATCATATTGGGACTGACTGAACTAAGCAACAGACATGGTTTTAGTTAAAGAGCTAATGTGGATTGATATTGCTTGGTTACCAAGTATTTCTCAACAAACTCCGAAAAATGTTTTGAGACTTAAATGTCACCAAGAGACCTTCCTTTAATGTCAGGCAAGGATAAGTCATTTCTTCTGAGATGACATTTGATGCATAATGTATATTGCCGTGCCCGTTAGGTGTCGTCCTCAGCACAGTACATCGTACAGCATTTTACGGCCGCTACAGGCTGTCGGAAGCTGGATGGGCGAGTGAAGAACATGTTCGCCACGGGAAAAGTCGTGATGGCGATGGCCGAGGAGGTTGGGCCAATCGGGCCGTCAGCAGCCGCCGCCACTGCTGCCATGGCGAGCAGTGTCTCGCAGCAAAAGGGGTGCTTCGTGATGTGGCAAATGTTGCCCGACAAGTGGCTAATAGAGCTGGTGTTGGGCGACCAGAAGGTCGTGGCCGGCAGCAACGGCAGCATGGCTTGGCGGCACACGCCGTGGCTCGGCACGCACGCCGCGAAGGGCGGGGTCCGACCTCTCCGGCGAGCTCTTCAGGCAAGTTGCTAAAACCGACACTGTTTCCTTGAGTGCTAGCTTAGCTCTGACCCAACCGTACTGAAAATATTTAGAAAATACTTTTCTTCAAGATCAATATTAGGTTCGGATCGAATTACAGATTAATATGACGAAGACAAAAAAATAACGGTGGACATGCATTTGCATTGCTCAACATCCTATGACATCTAAATACAGAATTGAAAGTAGCTCGCGTTTAGATTAAGGTTATATGACAACTCAATTAAGTGCCGAAATTAAAAATTCGGTACATTATGAAATTAAGTTATGAGAGGTTACTTAATTCGTTCGGTAATAAGAATAATTGATGGTAATAAAATCTTGTCAAATATATTAATAAAATCTATCCGTAATGGTCATTTTTTTTACATTTATTAAGAAATTAATGATATTCAGCTATAAGTTTTCAATTATCAGGCCGGAATATTCTTCAATAAACTTGTTGCATTTCTTTGATGTTGCTCTGCATGTGTTTTTTCCGTACTCGGTCGCGATGATCACCATGAAATCAATTAGGACGTACCGATGCTCTGTACATTGTGTCCACAAAAGTCAACACTTGAAGGAGATCTAGGTCCCATGTATCTATGGCCATGACCAAGCCGGGACTCTCCTGCACTTTGAATTAAATTATAGTGGGGGTTAGACATTATTGTGCCGCTGTCAGAAGTGGTTAATTTCTGCTAAAAGAACATAAAAAGCTACCAAAGTTGTTGCCACAGCACAGTACTAGGGTTTGGACCAGTGAATGTCATGTCTCAGAATAATGAATGTTCATGTCGTGGCTGTATATAATTTGTATATCTGTATTCAGTTGAAATTTAAGTAAGTACTTTTACTTTTCTAGCCTAATTTAATCCATTATCTGCCGGGCGCGTTTTCCAAAAAGGAAAAAACTCTGCTTTTCGTCCGCTGCTTTTTTTAATCAAGTCTCTGCACTTTCGATTTCTCTGATCGAGTCTTTAGGTTTATACAAAATGTCTAATCAAGTCCTTACAATACAAAATCCGGCCATCTCCCAACTGGCAAGTCTGGCATGGCCGTGGGTGGATGCCGAAGTATGACTTAAATTGTATATTGCTTACATGACCGTAGGTAGAGAATGAGTGGAGGATTAAAGAATTTAAGCAAATTTATTATACATGCCCCGTTGTGGGTGTCCATAGAGGCAATGTTTAATTCGCGTCACATTCCGGCGTCCTCCGACGGCCATGTCAATTGGATTTGGCCAGAATTTGTGTTACAGGGACTCGGTTAGAAATTTGTACAAGTATAAAGACTTGATTAGAAAAATCAAAGTTTTAAAAGTAGTGATAGCACATGTTCGAAAAGGGAAAATTTCCCCTTTTTCCCTAGTACCTCACTGTATGTAATTTGAGGAAGTGCTCTGTGTCTGTATCAGTTCTAATTTCCCACCGAAGCATCAGTCAGTTCAAGTCAATAGAATTCAGCTTTGTTGAACAACATGGCTACTAATGGCCATAAATGCACATGGGTATTATTTCTTTTTAGATTTTTTTTCCTTTTCTTGATGGACCCCTCCTAACTTCCACAGAACCTTTTGTACTGATTTGCTACATGTTGAAACGTACCTACAATTTTTGTCTAGATGCGCAATAATTTTGACATGTACCATTGAATTTGGGGTCTTGACTTCTAGAGCCAGATTAAAATAACCATGGAAAGGAAGCGGACAAGCTAAGAAACTCTGAGGACATTGGTCAGCTCAGCCCAATAGCGTTTCGGGAAATCGAAAGCAGCCTAAATTTGACAGATGAGCACTGAGTTCGGGATTTGAATGCAACCTCTTTCGAGTCGGACCAATGTTTTTACATGGGAAAATTGACAGCCTGAGCTACATAGTGGTCCAAAAATCACCTTCACCTAATCCTGCCGAAGTCAATATCGTTGCAGCCAATATAGCGGATCATGTCTCCTAGGCCCAGTACCATGCATATCCTGGTCTTTAATCTTTGAAAACAGTGCGCAAATGATAGGAGTTTTCAGCGCCATTCGTGTAGAATATTTAGTGTGTGTATTTGTGCGTCTTCGCCTTATATTACCATGTCTGTGTGACATAGCGTCCCTAAAACTTGGGGAGGAATAAATCATGAATTCATGCAGGGACTAGATCCAGTAACGATAGCGGCCATATTCTCTACGTCGGAATACATGGGAGAGAAGAAGATTGGGGATGCGGATTGCTTCGTCCTCAAGCTGTCTGCAGATCAGACGGACCTGTCCAACCGGAGCGACAGCACGGCGGAGACAATCAAGCATGCCGCTTTCGGCTACTTCAGCCAAAAGAACGGACTCTTGGCGTACTTGGAGGACTCTTACTTGACAAGGATACAATCCCCTGGGACACACCCCATGTACTGGGAGACCTCGATAGCCACTCAGATCCGGGACTACCGCGAAGTGGACGGCGTCATGATCGCTCACTCCGGCCAATCGAGTGCGATCATCACACGTTTCGGGGATGATAATCTACGGGCAGGCCCAGCAGTCACTCGGTTGGAAGAGACGTGGATCATCGATGATTTCGCGTTCAACGTGCCTGGTCTATCCATGGACAGCTTCATTCCACCCAAGGACGTGAGGAAGGACCATTTTCCGTCAGATGATGATTGGAAATCACCATTAGACTGATACATGTTTTTTTCTCTTTTGCCTCTTTATGATCAGGAGTTAGTGTTGATGCAAGGAAAAAGGGAAGGTGCATCTTGTTTAGTGTCATTGACCGACAAAATTGAAAGTCTAATTCATTTGGGTGTATATGGAGTATAGCGATTGTGTCCAAAACTGCTTCCAAAGCCTTTTTTTGGTCCTGTTTTGGTGCGTACCCAAATCATAAAGCAGATTAATAAGATCACTAGCTCTTAGACAGATACGCATGATACTGTTCCGCTGACACTAGGGACCGCTGTTGGCGTTCGGACAGGCAGCGCAAGGGCAAGAATGCACATGCTTCCATTCTTATATGTTTTGTCAATCATGCATTTTGCCAACATTTGGTGTATCAGTGCGTCTGCACGGAAGCATCGAATCAATGATCCTAAGGCTTCCTATTGCTTTAGAGGATCCAGATCGGGGGATTTCATGCTAACTCAGGAAGACGTTGCTGCATTCTTTCATATGACCACTAAGATGTCTATGCAACGGGGAAGTGAAACTGTCCCTTCAATTTGTTCAGACATTTGCAATGGGGACAAGTTCCTAAGAAGTCGGAATTTGACGAAGGGCGACAGGAAGTATAAGATTGAAGTAACCGTACAAACTGTAGGTGAGCAGGATCTAGATGACTTCTTCATATATATACATGTATAAGGTACCACCTATAAACTTAAGTTATCAAGATGAACACGGAGCTCTCAATCTGAATAAACATTTAGGGTTTCGATACTGCTTTCCCAAATCAAATGAGTACCCAATCCTTGAGGTTTTCTACACCAGCCCGAATATTATGCGGAAGGATGAAGACAACTCATGGGTTGAGCCTGAAAAAGAATAATGCCTAAGAAAGTGATGCGGTTTACACGTCAAGATGCAGAAAGTCTACCTAAGGTTGGGAAGAAAAGGAATACGGGGCTTATTGCAGAACTCCCATATCTTGATTTACTTTTAAAGCAAGATACAACAGAGAAAAGATCAACAAGATGGCAAACATGAAAGCAGGAGCAACTATTAACGATGAACTGTAAATGAAGACAGGTACGCCTCCATGTAAAAATAACACTAAACAAACCGCACTAAAGTTGAGAGAGTATAATACGATCCTACGAAACAAGAAAAGTTTTAACATGGATCATACCTCAACCAATACATTACACTGTCTCTGCTGACATTCGTTAATAGGTCTTACACTACTTAATTACCTAGAATAGTCAAGACTACAGCTCCTGCTCCTGCTGGAGCTCCAGCTGCGACTCTTTGAGCGGTAAGGTGAACGTGAATAAGATCGACCTCGGTCTCTTCGACCTCTTGGTGATACTGACCTGGATCATCAAGAAAACTTCTTTAAAAAATTGATGAAATAAACTAAGCTCCAAAGCAGCTTGGTGGACACAAAACAAACAACTAACAAGGAAAGAAAAGATTATACAAAAGCAACCGAAACTCTGAATACCTTGAGTAACAATGACGCCTGGGAGAAGGTGAATTATAGTATGCATCCTGTGAGTAAGTGCGTGCATCTGATGGAGATAGAGAATAACCCCGGGGAGAACGTCTCCTATCATACGAACGACCCCTGATAATAGCACAATCAAATTCCCCGTGAATCTCAGCTTCTACCAGGAAACTCCAATAGCCCGTTACATAAAGGCTTTTAATTTTTAGTGATGCAATTTAGCTATTCCAACCATAAAATTTCCAGAAAAGAAAGTGCAAAAACTGATTGTGGATAATAAGCACAGCCTAATGTTGCCATTTTCTAGTCAAATGAAGATAAGAAAATAGTAAATTGCTTTCATCGGTCAGACGTCTACTCGACAAAATCACATAAGGAACCCAATCATCCTCAATAGATTAATGAACTTTCGAAGCAAAATCAAGGGACTCTTATGAAACCCATGCATTAAGAATATGATAATACAAGTAAACTAACGTATCACCAAATATATCAGTCAACCAAAGGACAAAGAACCTTCAGGAAAGGGGCAAAAATGAAAACCCAATACTGTAACAGCCCTGTCGGAACCCCTCCCTGGTCATGCTCAATAACTTGAACTACTACCGTAACATGATACAGATTCCCCACATCGTTAAACTCATCATCTCATCACAATTAACACAAACTGCCCTTGCAATGTTATTATTTCACAAACATTCCGTGTAATTGACAAAGAATATACTAGAATTCTCTCACAAAACAACCACCTTCATTGCAGTGGCATACCTCTAAGCACCCCAATACAGTTTCCAACCACACATTTGGCCCCAGCTTAAAGTACTATTGCAGCCTTGGAGAAAGTTCCTATATATAAGAACTATGTTCTCCCATGCCCTCCCACACCCACAACATAAGCATGTGCTCCTACAACCTCCTATCCTACGTTTAGGGTAAAAGCATCATAAAAGCACACAGAATTCATGTTCGATTGTCAGGAAAAATCCTTAATTACCTGAAGCGGTCTCTCGCTCTCATTTCTGAAGGCTTCTTCCTATTTTCCTCAGCAAAAATCACTCTCATTTCACGGCCAAGAAGCACTTCACCATCCATGTAACGTTTAGCATCTGCAGCATCTTCTGGGTATACATACTGAACAAAGCCAAAACCACGGGGTTCCCTGCATCAAAAACAGATCATCAGCCACAAACTAGCAACGAATGCCAAGGACACAGGTGAATTTGCAAGTCATCTTTGAAGATGAAGAATCACGACAGGAATTCTGCCCACATTCCATTCAATTCGAAAAGGCAGTCATGCAGCTGCTCACCTTGTGCGAGCAAATCTTAATTTGTTGAAATTCTTCAAGAATTTGCACTTCTTCATAAGAAGTCAAATCCACTTTCTTCAAATCTTCATTGACATTAAGACAACCTTGAACGATACTCTTACCATTTCGATAGGTGTCTTCAACAAACTTTCACCTCATTACTTCACTGGTGTCTTCAAAACTTTCAATGACAAAACCAAACTCTCATAAACAACTGATGAAAAAGGTAACGATCTTGACAAGAGGCCAAACACATATAGATGGAACAACCACAGGCATTATTTTATTTTATTTTTAACATTTTTTGAGTAGTTGCTATATCATGAGTACTTAAATTCATCTAGGAACATTAACCCACACAATAAAGAAACCTCAACCTATCTCTCCAAAGGTTGTCATGACTTACCCTGTATAGTAATCACGAGGCAAATAAATGTCCTTGAGAGGACCAAACCGCCCAAATGGACCACGTAGGTCTTCAGCCCTGCATAAGAAAATTTTGTTTTTAACTTTGCTTAAATAATAATTTTTCTGCAATGCGGCGAGATAATGAAAATCAAGCTACCATGCATCACAAGGTTATAATATCCTACAGGGGGTCATTCATTTACTAACAGAAGCAAAGCATCTTATTCTTGCCTCACACAAATCCTAATCAGCAATTCAACTATGATAGCGGTAATTACCCTGCTAGTACTCTGATATGCTAACTTGATTAATTCCATCTTCTGAAATGTAAAGAGAGAATATTTTGCAAGAAGCATAGTGCCGGTGCTACAAAGCATATACCAAGGAATGCATGAATCTGACCTGCAGTCACGTTGGAGGTTGCGAACCAGAAGGCTAGTAGGAAGGTCTTGGTCACGACCGCCATATCGATCCCTAGGACTAGGGCTTCGGTGCCTCCTGCTATAACTCCTTGGTGGAGATGGACTGTAGCTATAACTTCTTCCCCTCATTGGCACCAAAACTTGAAGCCCACTACCTACAAAAGAAGAGCATTTGATCCACTCGAAGAAATATTGCTTTGGAGCAAAACCACTTGACTTGCTAACTATTAACGTGAAGAGCATCTAAAAGTAAACCTTATGCACCGAAAGAGTTTTTTATGCCGTGAACTGGTATGCAAACGAGCCCCCACTAACACTCTTAAGGCTCCACAGCCACTCCAAATATAAATGCAAAGTATCAAAACAATAACTTTCAAGCCTTATCCACTCATATATCAAGAGAATCCACAACTTAAAATCTTCATCTAATTAAAAAAGAAAATCCTAGATAACACGATTCTGCCACCAATGATCGTGGTGCCAGAACAATGAAACCTTGTTTTAACACCAAAGCCAGTGAAATAATTCCAACTTCAAATTGTGCAGAGAGGACCATTCTCACCCTGAAGGATTTCTAAAGTTCCCATACTGTCTTAGAAGAAGTCTGAAATTTAAAAAAAGAAAAAGAAAAGATGAAATACAATAAAAGAGTTAAAGTGTAAGGTGAAGTTGACAAAAAATCTAACAAAAGCAACCGCTTTTAAAGCCGCTTTTAAAACATTTTATTCATACAATTAACTGGAAAAACAAAAGGCACGAACTTCTCATCTGCAAAGAAGGGCGCTCCTAAAGTTCGGTTTGGAAAACACGGGTAACCGGTAACACCTTCTAAGATTCATCTAAAGGAAGACATTTTTCCATTGGACGTATTCTACAAGGGACTGACCCCGTAAAATACCCCGCCGGACCTTAGATCTATCCCTGCAAAGAAACACGACCACGCGCCACCGTTTCCCCCAAGAATCACCACGCACCCTTGCCCCGTTCAACCCCGACTATTCAACCGACCACGCGCGAAGCCTAGAAATCGACAATTCCAAGCACGAGATCAAACGACGACGACGACGACGACAACCTCGAATCGAAACATGACCGAGGCGAAGAGAATCCGGCAGCGTCAACAGACGCCGGACCCACGGGAGAACGTCGGAGCTCCGCGAACTCGACACGCTCATCGACGGGATCCCGTCGCGCCGGCGCCGGAGCTAGGAGACCGAAAAGGAAACGCATTCACGAGCGCATCGGAGGGGGGAATCCGTACCTGCAGCGCCGGCGAGGCTCGGCTCGGCTCGGCTGGTTTCGATCGTTCTCGCGCGCTGAGATAGAGAGAGAGAGAGAGAGAGAATGAGCGAAGGTGATGAGGCCGGCGAGGTGGCGGGTTTATGAACGACGCCTGCGGGCCAAATGCGTTCGAGAAGGTTCTCACGGTTATTCGAAGACCGGGGGTTTTATTCGGTGCGCGCGATGACATGCTTTTCCATTTGGGCTTGCGGATCTAACCGTTGGTGGATTGGATGATGGAAAGGATGAGATGACGGAGGCCCTGAAAGCTGAAGGCCAGGCCCATGACGAAGGCGAAATGTGGAGGCTGTTTGGTTACATTTTGCATAAGTAAATTTTTTTTTATATTGAACATTAAAAACTAGCACGTGAAAATACATTTAAATTGGGTATAGATAAAAGTGGCTTTTTTTTTCAAAAATAAAAATCAACACATTTCATCTCCTTAAGAGCAAGAGGCTTGTTACGTTTACATAAAACCATTTATTTGAAGCCGTTTATATAAATGTAGGCGAGCGACACTTAGAAATTTTTCTTATTTTCGTAATGAGAAATGCGAATTTCATTTTGTCTATTTTTAGATTATTGCAAAAAAAAAAAAGCATTGGCGCAAGAATCCTACAAATCACTTACTAAATCGAATATGTACCAAAAATTCGGTAACGGCATCGAACAAATCAAAAGTTCATGGACAAGGTTGTATATTGAGCTAAAGTTCAGAGACAATATTGAATTAATTTAAAGTTGATGGATCAAATTAGACATTGACTCAAAGTTTATGGTCCATCACCAAGAAATAGGAGCCGAAACTCCAACTTGGGCCCCCTTATCTGTTCAGGATTGACAAGACTGCGTACCTTATTTTAACGTATCGGTATTTGCACGCTTAGCCCACTAATCAAGAAAAAAGTTTTCCTTTTTTTTATCCAGTGTTTAATGTTCCGAAATTAAGACGAAATAGTTTAAGGATGCACTCAGGTCTAAGCCTTCCAGGTCATGCTCAGGACCAAATTTTTGCATCATCATCCCATGAAAGAAAATTTGGCCCATTCGGACCGAGCACACAACCCGACCCGATCCACGCCCCGTAGTGCCCTTCCTAAAAGGTGAATTACCAAACAGGCTTGGCCTGAAGCCTTGAGGTCTCTCTCTGCTCTACAAAAACCCTTCCAAAGCCCCCCCCCCCCCCCCGAAGCCTCTCTTCCAGAGCTTCATATATAGCTCCACCACCACCGCGCTCAGCTTCCCCCCGCTCCGCTCCGCTCCGCTCCAATCCAAGCAAAGAGACAAAGGGGTCGTTCGTCTCTCCGCATCGTTCTCTCGAACTAGGCCGCCGGCGAATTCTTTCCACCCCCGAGAAAACGATCCGTCGGCATGGCGGCGCCCAAGTCCCGGAAGGCCCCGTCGCGAGACGGCCCGAGGCTGTCGAAGGACTCCAAGAGACCGTTCAAAGCCAAGAAGAAGTCCGGCGAGGCGACCGGGCGAAAGCCCGCCGCCTTGCAGCTCGAGGACGACGTGCCCGATTTTCCCAGAGGTTAGAGGGCTCCGGCTTTCCCTTTTTGTGTCTGTGGAGGTTTCTCATTCGTCGGAGAGGACAAGGAAGAGTAACGCGAGTCGTCTCGAACTGCTTCTTTTTTCTTTTCTTGAACTGTCGCGGTACGGTCGGCGCATTTGTGATGGGAGCTTGGTGTGGATTGTCGTGGGTAATCTAGTTCTAGGCCTATTGTCGGAAGATGGGTTATCTTCTAATGTGTTGAGGTTTAGGTACATTTGTAAGTTGTAACTATCTGATGTCCCAAGAGAGGAACTTTGGCTGTCAATTTTTTCTCTTCGAAGCTGTCTGATTGGACTTCTCCGCATTTCTGTTGATAAAACAAAATCAAGAAGAAAACTTTCGGTGCATTTTGATGGCTAGTATCTACCCTGATCCAAATCATCCAGTTCCTATGCCTCTGAGTCATTTCATCACTTATCAGCCTTTAACAGTTTGTTCACCGTCTTCATAATTTATTTTTGGCTGGATCCTATTTGATTGAAATAAATGGCAACAGTAGCGTTGGATAACTGCTCAAGGTTCTTTTAAATGTTGTTTGATTTGTGTCTTCAGGTGGAGGAAGTTTTCTCAGTCGAAAAGAACGTGAGGAAATTCATGCGGAAGTCGATGCACAGTTTGAGACTGAGGACAGGGAGTCAAAGAAAAAGAAAACGAAAAGGATGCAGAAGAGGGGGCCTACTTCAGAAGATGATCTGGGTTCACTTTTTGGGGATGGAATGACTGGGAAATTACCTAGATTTGCAAACAGAATCACTTTGAAGGTACTTGTCTCTGTTCTCTTGTTGTCCGTGTAGTAGTAGTTAGTAAGATATATATGATGCTCTTTAGTTTGATCAAAAACCCAAATACACATTACGTTTCTTCACAGAGAAATTCCTCAATTAAGAATTGTCATGGCTCTGGAAATAACTTTTGCACTATTAGTGGGCAAGACTGTGAGAGCTATTACCATGTCAAGCTTCTTGTGACGTACACATTTATATTTCGATAAGCCATTGGCTTAATGTGGCCTTTTTTCCCTGACTCCCTTTCTTCAGCCGCTCCACCACCCAAATGCAATTCCACAACAGTGGGCTGCATCTTAGTCATCAATCCTTGCATGAATTTCATCAAGGCTATATTGACTAGTTTAGGTTTAGTTTCATGGTATCCAAATTATTCTTTCCCTCCCTATTGTTTATTGTACACTTTCCTTCCATGCTCCTCGGCCAATTTTGGTGGACAGTTTTCATGTAATATTTGTTCATCCAGAATATTTCTCCCGGTATGAAGCTTTGGGGAGTCATCAGTGAAGTCAATGAGAAAGATCTTGTTGTTAGTCTTCCTGGGGGATTACGTGGTCTAGTTCGGGCATCAGATGCAATCGATCCTGTTTTAGATGGTGAAACTGAGGTAATTGTTGCGTGTTGTTGACTTTTATGCATTTCCTCAATTGCCATGGCCGTGGTTTTTGTTATTTTAATAATTTTGTGCACCCCTGATACTTCACCTTGTCTTTTCCTTTTCTCCTGTAGGAAAGTGAAAATAATTTACTGTCGAGCATGTTCAGTATAGGGCATCTTGTATCTTGTGTAGTAATGCAAGTCGATGATGATAAAAAAGAGAAAGCAAAACGAAAGATCTGGCTCTCGTTGCGTCTCTCTTTGGTGCAAAAGGGATTTACACTAGAAGCCATTCAAGAAGGGATGGTAAGCTTTCTGAAATTTCTTAAAAGACAGGTGAAAGGAGTTGATTTTGAATATTCGTCAATGGACCATCTTAATCTGAACCATGAACAAAATAAAAGTACTGGACTGGCATTTTTTTTTACTTACTTGGACATTCTTCTCGAGTGCAAATATGTCAGCATGCATGCCCTCAAACTTCAGGCGAATAAATGGGAGCAATATATCTTAGCATGCAATATGTGAGTCATCATAGTTTAATTGTTTTATGTTAAAACATTCCCAGCTTGGATGGATTATTCAGCTATACACTGGGAAAAAATGTAAGCTCATTCTTTGTGGTTTACAATCTCATGCTTGGTTTTTTTAATCATTTTTTATTACTTGCCCAGCAATCATAGTTCAGTATTGGGCTGACTCATACGCATACAATAATTGTTTTATCTCTCTCTCTCTCTCTCTCTCTCTCTCTCTCTATACACACACACTATATTTTTTTTAGCGATTAGCGATATGTAAAGAGTGCATTAGGCTTTGCTGTTCAAATCGGTATTGCGTGTGTTGGACTTATATTTTGATTGTAAACTTGTTAAAATGGAATCAATACTTTGTCATACAGAGGATGACTCGGAAATAAATGTATATGCAGAGGATGAGTCAGAAACAAATGTATACTATTGCTGCAAGCTTGTTATCATGAATTTTTTGCCATTCATGTGGCATACTCAAGGCATCATATACTATTGTTGCAATGGTGATTTTTTTTATGGATACCTTTACTCTCTTTTTTTAACTAGCATATTGATGTTCAATTAGGAAAGTATTTGAAGAGTCTGTCCGGCATATGTCAATATAAAATTATGGAGATTGTTGTTTTATGTCTGTAATACCATTAGAATTGCGTGGCTTTCTCTTTGACCCTTTTGACAGACGAATAAATAATTGGTCCAAATTGCATGATCATTAAAGTAAAATAATGCTATTTGTATGATATTGGCAATCATAATGCGGTTATTTGGCTCAATTTTGTTATCGCTAGGGATAGCAAGTGTCATTTTTTGAGGCAGCCATGCTTATCTCTGGGTGGTGGTTTTCTTCATAGACCGGCTGGCTCTTCCCAGATTAACTATCGATCAGAATTGTATGCTGGAACTAATGTCCCTGGTTGATATTATAGGTCCTCTCAGCATACATTAGAAGTATTGAAGATCATGGTTACATTCTCCACTATGGCTTGCCTTCTTTTACAGGATTTTTGCCAAAAGCCAGCGAAGATGGTATTGCCTCTAAAACTTTTGTTTTTGTTTGTTGTTCTATCTTGTTCATGTAAGCTTCTTTGCTTTTACAGTTTTCGTTGGATACTATGAAGTAGGTACTATTATTGAAGTATCTGATAATTACAAGGCAGTCTGATTTTCACTTTAAACGCATCTTCATTGCACAAACATTTCTAGGAGCAGAATTGACGAAAGTTTGCATTATCTGACATGATTTAATAGCAGCAAGAACTTGACACATTGCATATGACAGGAAGTGAATCTTCCTGACCTATGTTTGAAACAATCCTTCTTTAGAGTTTGCAGTGGTTTGGCAATCTCACAGAGATTGAAATGAATTAAATGAAAGGGGAATATTGGCTCGAGTAGCCACTTGCAGAAGAAAACTTTAAGGCAACCCCTCGCCATCAGTTAGTGAAACTTTTGAGGACATTCAGAATACCACAAATTGGATAGCATTCTGGTTTAACTGAAAATAGTAAATAGTTAATTTATCAGGGCTAGGAATGATGTCTATGTCACAAGCTTTAAAAGTATCAAGCACCTCTACCACTTTAGAAGTCCTCATTCTCTATTTCAAGCGTTTTAGCTGCATTAATGTTACTTATGTAGGCTGGTCAACTGTGGCTATAATGTCACTTGCGTTGACTTATAGCATTTGACATTCATAATGATTTAGTTTGAAGTGTATATATTACCTATGTAACTCACCTGTGGTGGGCATCATTTCAAGATTCTTTCAGATAACATATTTCCTCTTTTCCTTTGGCAGAGGTATATATCTGTAGAAGTTTGAAAAATGACATAGTTAGACGAATTGTTTCTCACAAAAGTTTGTCATCTTATTATATATATCTAGCATAGTTATCAACGCTACCCTCTTTGTAAGCCGGGTTTTATATGTAGAAGACAAGATTAAATAGACAACTCCAGACAGAAATTTATAACAGAATTAATTAGACAGAACAACAGGAAGAGGGAAGTTAAGATTTGAATGTGTAACAGTACTCTGATACCAAATTCTGCAAACCCCTTTTTTCCCAATAAATTAAACTGTTGTATTTCTAGCTTGCTTCAGTGAAGTGCGCTTCTTTGCTTTGGTTGATGTAATGGAGATTTTGGCTACAGTATTTCTTCCTTTGGGTTTTTAGGGCTCGTGTATATATGTATTATAGTTCTTTTTGCATCAATTGTTGCTTCAGTAATGTCTCCCATATGTGATTCTCATGTGGCTTTGATGTATCTTCTTTCATTTTTCACAGAGAATAAGGGTTCTGAATTAAAAGTTGGGAAACTTTTGCAAGGAGTAGTCAAAAGCATTGATAAAGCTCGAAAAGTTGTTTATTTGAACCCTGACCTGGATATGGTGTCAAAATTTGTGGTAGCTATTTCTTCATCATTCATTCCAAACGAGTTGTCAACCTATCTTTCATTCGAAGGTGATTTGCTTTTGCCCGTATTTCATATTGGTATTTACACAGACAAAGGACGTGAAGGGCATCTCAATTGATCTTCTCGTTCCTGGTATGATGGTTAATGCTCGTGTACAATCAACCATTGAGAATGGAATCATGCTATCATTCCTCACATACTTCACTGGAACTGTGAGTTTTATGGTCATTGGTTCTCTTATTGTCGAGCACTTAAATTATTTTTGACTAAATGAGCAGGGTTTGGTATTTTATGAGGGTAGTGAGTGCTTCTTGTCTGGTTACGTGTCATTTTATTAATTTACAGGTTGATATGTTTCACTTAGAGAACGCTTTACCTACAAAAAGTTGGATGGACAGTTGCACTAAAAATAAGAAGGTTTGGTCACTCCTCTTTATTTTCACTCTTGTTGTGTAATTATGTCTAAGCTCGTGACTGTTCCTTTTTTTGTTCACTCTTGATTGTTGCCTTTTGACAAAACTTTTAACAACCGTTATATGAGGACATAATCTTAATGTTGCTGATCATGTCATATTTTCTGCTGAGTGCATGTCTACTTATGCTCTCCCTAGCACATCAGAACTTCCTAATATGCCGGTAGCTTTGTTTTTGCGAGCTTCATTTGGACGGGAATATTGCTTTGATTCTCAACCTCTTACTTGGACATTGGGTTACATTGGGGGGTTTTCCAATTGTTTGATATTTCTGGTGTGGAAAGATTGTCAACGATACTTTTAGTTTCTTGTGAGGAGTATATATTCTTAAAGATCAATAACTATTTGCACTGATATAATTACTGTACTTGTAGAAAGAACAAATAATTGACCAAGACATCATTAGCTACTCTTTAGATGTTCATCTGCATAAGTAGTTTCAGATAAAGTGAAGACTATCCTGATAGACAAGGTTGGCTATGGAAGACTCTGATATCAGCCAAAGTATCATGGATTGACATTTAAGTATTGTAAGCTGACTGTATGAGACAATGACATTCTAAGTTTCCAATGCTGTAAGCTGACCGTGTGAGACAGCGAACTTGTTGACGGTTTTATTGCTGGAACTTGCATTTACATCCTCCTTCAGGCTTGGTGAGCATGCTGCCTATTTTGGCATGCTGGGTGCTTGGTTTCTCCTTCATAGCGCATTTATTGATATGACTGCTGGCATTGAAATTGGTGTCGCCAGGGTTGATGGGACTTTTGACATATGATTGCTTGCCAATGATGAGTTCCATGGTTTTATATTATTTGTACCACATAATGTGCTGGCTTTGGCTATATTAGTAGTTGCAATTTATGTCTACGAAGTTCTTTATCCTCGAAACTTGTTGAGATCTGATCAATGACCTGTTTGGCCCATTATATTTTCAGCATGTTAACACGTTGTAAGAACAATGGGATCTGGTCCTATCATCTTTCTTTGTTACTAATTTGGGCTGTTACCTTGCTGTATCAGGTTATTGCTCGGATTTTATTTGTCGATCCTTTTAGTAGAGCGATCGGTTTGACTATGAATCCGTATCTTATTCAAAATAAGGCTCCTCCTTTGGTAAGCTTGCACACATTATTCTCCTTTAGCCTGAGGAATGTCAGTGTCCATATGTTGTTTATGTTCTGAGTGATTGTGACTATTGATCTGGCAATTAATTAGGAATCCTGTTACTTGGTTTCTGAAAGAGGGATGTGAATTTTACTTAATGCATTAATATAAGACAATTTCTTCCAAGCTTGGTGGAGTGCAAGTAGGTAACTTCTTTGGAACTAGCATTTCTGCCCAATCCAGTTTAGGCTATCGACATAAACTTATGCTATGCTTTTGCCCTTAAAAGAGATAACAGAAACAGTAGATGCTCTCTTTGCTTCCAAATTTGTCCATTTTGCTGTATTAGGATACCGTGGAAGTTTGGCTGGCACTGTTGAACTGCTCTACTTCTGTAAAAGAATAATTGCAATAAAATTTCTGTCTTGCTCTTTCATCGACCATAATTGCGTTAAAAATTAAGGTCAGTGTCGTTTTTGAACGACACCATCAAGTCAGCCTGTAAGGGTTTCAACAAGGATTTACATCAAGGTTTTGAGGTTGACCTTTTTCTTGCATGGAATCTCATGCATCCTTTTCTCCTCTTTTTTTTTTCAATGAATATGGAAATATCAACTCCATTGATATTTTCCTTGGTGCAACAGTAAGGTTATTCTGTTGTGACCTGGACGCCACAGGTTCAGGTCACGAGAACAGTCTCACTGTGATAGCAACGGTAGGTCTTGTGAACCCTCCCAGACCCCACACAATGGGAGCCTCATTCAACGGTGCCATTTTTTGTTGATCTTCGAGCTGATAGGGAATAAGAAGGAAGATCTTTGACCATGAGGCAACACGAGATATGAGTGTGGCCCCTGTTTCGATGAGGCTTTTATTGTCAACGAGTTTAAGATTTGTCCTTTACAAGTCTTTCCACTTTCACATGGGGCCTTTCAATCTTTTCTCTCTAATTTGGCCTTTTTAGTTATCTGAACTTTTTCTTTTTGACCTGTTCTTCTATAATCATGGTGTACTTGAACAATATTTTTAATAAAATCTCTTTATTTGTTAAATACAAAAAAGCATGTGTATAGGCATGCTTTTTAATTTACTACCTCTTTATTTCACTTTGGCAGCATGCTAGGGTAGGCGATATTTGTGAGAACGCAAAAATAGTCAGGGTAGACAGAGGGTTGGGCATTTTGCTTGAGATCCCTTCTACTCCTCAGTCTACTTCAGCATATGTTAATGTAAGTTCATTTTGAGGATTTTCTTTTTTTTTTCTTTATTAATTGCAGTTAATACTTCCACTTCAAACGTAGATGCTATCTTGCTCCCAATGGTTCCAGGTATCAGATATTGCTGAAGGGGAAGGTCATAAACTGGAAAAGAAGTTTAAGGAAGGAAGTTGTGTACGTGTTCGGATTTTTGGGATTAGGCATTTGGAAGGGCTAGCTGTTGGAGTTTTGAAGGTCAGTCCTTTGTAAAAGCTCATAAATTTAAGATGGCATGGCTACTTACACTGGAGGCTGATTGTCTCTGATATATGACTGTTAAACTAGCTGTTAACATGAAGGACATGCCATGGTATAAATGTCTGGATATTCATTGTTTGTGGGGACCGTTGCTACTACATGGTATATAATGCCCCTTTTTATGATTTCCAGTGTATATGGATCTCCTTTTGTTATTACCCTTTCTTCAGTACACAAGTTTTTAGTGGCTTCTTTCCATCATTTGTACTCAAATGGTGGTTTGCTCTCCCGTTCGCAGTCAATAAATGGTGTTTGTGACTCACTGTAGCATAGATATGTATATATGTATGTGTGTATTATGGACCAAGTAACACTGCAGCCTTTATAAAAGCTACTGGAGTATCACTTATACATGTCTATGTTATCTCATGTAAATTTTGAAATATTAAGAGGAAGTTCCTTTGGTTGGCCACATATTTTTTCCCTTTCATTTTTTTTGTTGAATTTGACAATAGGGAAGCTCTATTGTTTCAAGTGAAAGGCTCTCTTTGAGGTGCTAATGTTCTTCATGTTCTGCCAGCCATTGAGCTAAATATAGAAACTTTGACTATCTAAGGCAAGTTTTTGGGTCTTCTTGAATGCGCCTTATAGACTAGATTTCTCGTCTGAATATTTGCTTGGAAATAGTTCTTTTTAGTGCAAGTTAGCTATCCTGTAATAATCTTTTTAATAGTAATTTAATTCCGTTAGTGACATTTTGTTAATAACCCGTATATTGTGCCTCTAATTGATATCAAGCAGGCCACTGCATTTGAAGGATCAGTTTTTACCCACTCTGATGTCAAGCCTGGGATGGTGGTGAGAGCTAAGGTGTTAGTTGTTGATACCTTCGGTGCTATTGTTCAGTTTTCCGGTGGCGTAAAGGCACTTTGTCCACTTCCGCATATGTCTGAGTTTGAAATTGCAAAACCTCGAAAAAAGTTTAAGGTAATTCCAGCAGCTAAGATCACTTGCCACATGGTTCCCTTGATCTCTTCTAAAATTTGAGGATGTGCACTTCTTTCCTTCATTTCTCTCCAGGTTGGAGCTGAGCTGGTGTTTCGTGTGCTTGGTTGCAAATCTAAGAGAATAACTGTCACCCACAAGAAGACACTTGTATGCTCCCTTTCTTTCCTTATCCTGCTTCAATTTGGTTTTGCTTGCTAGGGTAAAGTCTTTGCAACTTTAGTTTGTGTGTGGTTCAGCTCATTAAGTGTTGAAAAGAGTACCTTTTGTCTTTCCCACCGAAAACAAATTTTTTTCCAAATTATTTATTAATTAATCCTGCATGACCCCAATGACATTAAATGCCTATATTTACTTAATGTATTTCTTTGGTACGTAAAGAGAAGTTTGCTAAGGGCACCAAGACTGTGCAGCCCAAGGAGCTCAAAGCCAAAAAAAAAAAGAAAAAGAAAAGAGCTCATTTTCAAGACAAAGAATCTATAATCAATCAAACATTAAATTAAGGAGTAAATCCAACTGTAAAAATAGGATAGAATTTTGGAACATTTGGCAAGTGCTTAGACAGAAGAATCTTCCTCTTCAGAAAATCTCTCATTTTGTTCCCTCGAACCAACCAAAAATAGCTTAATAGACCCAGCTATGCATGAGATTTCGCACAAAATTTGAAACCCTTGAAAAGGTTGGATATTTTTCTGTCATTGGCCGGAAAAGTTGAAAACCCTTGAAAAAGTTACATATTTTTCTTGTCTTTCGGATGGAAAAATCAGTAAATGACGCTCAGAATGCCTAAAAAATGCAAGATATTGGATAAAAGATACTCTGACAGAAGCATCTTAGTGGAAGGTCTAAAATCCAAGACTGAATTGTAACCATCACTTTTATTCCATTAAGAAAATCGCGTACTATGTACACTCTCGAAGTTCTTTCTCCAGAATATTTAGATTTACGTAAGCAAAGCTTGAGAACAAAAGAAACTTTCCACTTGTGCGCTGATTTGGATCTGCATGGAAGACTAGCTTTTTCCTTTTCCCAAATGTTACTTTTCCATGTGATGTTTGCAGCATCTGATCTGTCTAAAAATTAAGTTCTGGCAATTCTATAGTCAAAATCTTAGTCTTGCTGCTGAAAATGATTGTCGATTTTTTGGCAGGTGAAATCAAAACTTGCAATTATTAGCTCATATTCAGATGCTGCAGATGGACTTATAACCCATGGGTGGATAACCAAAATTGAAAAGCATGGATGCTTTGTCCGGTTCTACAATGGCGTCCAGGGATTTGCTTCTAGGTAGTTTTAGATTGTTAAGGATATTCTAGAGCCTTGTAGATTGTTATGTTGATTCTATCATCTTACTCTTCTTTCCTTAGCATTTGCTGTGGTCTTGTTTGCATGTTCCAAGTGGGTTCTCTTCTTCATACTGAATTTTTAATTAGTTGTTTGGCGAAACCATACAAGCATAACTTACAGTAGTGGTCCTCTAGAGTGTCCACCACTTGAACCTTCGGAAATTCAAATTGTTTCATTCATATTACTTTTGTTGTTTATGAAAGTTACTTACTCACTGTTCCACCAATTGTACTTGAGAAAAGATAATGTAGTGCCTAATACGATTAGAGTGTATATCTTGTTCAAGGTAGGTCGTCCAGACTGTCTCTGGACAATGGAGTGATATAACTGTCAGCAGTAGTTATATTCAATTTGAGGAATGAAACAAACTGGTTTGGGTAGTAGACATGAAATTACCACAATCTTGGATGGCCATTTATACCCATTGCGAAATAGAACTGTATGATCTTAGTACAGGCATTTTCAATGTAAAACTTTATAATACTGTTTCATTAAGAATAGTACCTGTAATGCAAATACTGATACCAGCTATATAGGTAGCAAAGGTTATCATACTTCAAGTTTGTAAAGTGTAGTGTGATTTCAATTTGCATGGACATTTGTTGTATTACTTTTTTATGACAAAAAGTAGTTATAATATAGAAAAAAAATACACTACCTATACAGAAGCCATTTAACTTCATCTGGACACTGATATAAAGCGCTAACGGCTAGGCTTATCTAATATAATATTGTGTGATCGAGTTTGTCAAAATATAGATTGTGTCATTTAACCAGACTATAGGAATTTAATGTGCTGCTTTAGCAAAATAATATTAAGTGTGGTGAAATGAGGACTATCTTGATTTGAGGTGAATTCAGTAATAATTTTTTTTAATTGCAGATAAAAATTTAAGTAAAAAATTTGAGGATGTCTTTATTCAATAATTATACTAGACCAATGTATAAATGCATTTGTGGTGGGTTCATTATTGTTCCACATTCAAGTTTGATAAGAACATGTTTTATTTGGATAAGTATCTCAGTGGTGGGATAACTCCATGTAGTCAGTGGTTTATATCTAATTAGGCTTATAATAATGTCATTTGATGATGTTCATGAGGACTTCATTTTACTTAAAATTGAGTGAATGTCCGTGTCTTTTCCATTTGGAAGCGAATGTGTATTCGGAATATGATCATATTAGAGGACAAGCTGAACAAGGTTGAATGGAATATTTTTTGGTGGAGGGGCAGGTTCATGTGCCCTTATACTGTCATGTCAAACCCCTTGCATACGTTGCTAGCTGTTATTGTTTGATAATTGTCAAAGTCTCACATTTGATTTTTCTCCTCCCAAACCAGACATGAACTTGGGCTAGAACCTGGATCTGATCCAAGTTCAATGTATCATGTCGGACAAGTTGTCAAGTGTAGAGTAACTGGTTCTGTTCCTGCGGCACGAAGGATCAATCTAAGTTTTCTGATGAAGCCTGCGAGGTTAGTCTCACCTGATGTTTCTTTTTTCTTCGCAATGCTCATGCAAACAAACCAAGTTGCACAAGTATCATGCATTTGATGGGCATGTGCACCAAGAGAGAGAGAGAGAGAGGGAGAGGAGGGGGGGGGGCACCTCATTCAAGCACACACTCATATCAGCAAAGCTCCTTGCACTGCTCATTTATTCTGCCATTTTGATGAATTCTACCATTTGATTTAACTCTGGAGTGTGAGAGGGAGGGAAGGAGGGGTTTCATTCTTGCATACACTCATACTGGCAAAGCTCCTTGCATTGCTCATTCTGGAGGGAGGGAGGGAGGGAGGGGTTTCATTCATGCATACAATCATACCGGCAAAGCTCCTTGCACTGCTCATGAATTCTACCATTTGATTTAACTCTGGAGTGTGACAATATCCAGTCTAACTCCCAGGCAGGATTTCTGATGGAAAGGGTGGGAGGGGTTTCATTCATGCATACACTCATACCGGCAATGCTCCTCTGCTCATGAATTCTTCCATTTTGATGAATTCCACCATATGATTTAACTCTGGAGTGTGAGAGAGAGGGAGGAAGGGGTTTCATTCAAGCATATGCTCATACTGGCAAACCTCCTTGCACTGCTCATGAATTCTACCATTTGATGAATTCTACAATTTAATAACTCTGGAGTGTGACGATATCCAGTCTAACTTCCAAGCAGGATTTCTGAAGGTGACATGGTCAAGTTGGGTAGCCTTGTTACGGGAGTGGTTGAGGCAGTAAGTCCTCGTGGGGTTGTTATATATGTTAAGGCAAAAAGTTTCTTCAAGGGTACAATTCCTACTGAGCATTTGGCGGATCACCATGGTACTTTGTTAGTTTCTATCTCATTCATACATGCATTACCATAATAAGATCCTTTTATTCTGTTGCTTATCTTATGCAGTCACCTTGCAGAGCATGCTATGTTGATGAAATCAGTGTTGAAGCCTGGATATGAGTTTCAGCAGCTCCTCGTTCTAGGTATTGCTACCACTCCCCCACCCTCCACTAGATACATAGGACATATGCTTGTTAAGGCTAGCAGCTATGTGATCCAACAGGAAAAGTAAAAACTAATAATGAATTCTGGAATTGGAATAGTAAAAGAAATGAATAAACAAAACCCATTGTAATTAGGTTTGACAGAGAGAGAGATAGAGAGAGAGAGATCAAAAATGACCTTGGAGGTCACCTCAGAGTGCCAACCATCATAACGCAACCACCATGGCAGTGGTACAGCCATGGGTATGGTCACCTTTCGCAGGGACAACTGCCGATCTCCTTCCCCCTTCGCTCTCTTCAATGCTCAGGATTATTATATAAAAATTGGTTTTCAATCCTGGATAGGAGAAATCCTGTGTGCGTTCATCTCACCCCTTGGTGGTTTTATTTTATCTTGGCTCTTTTATATCCACGTATGTAGCATCCTGAGTGATCACCAAAAGCTGGATAGGATAGGCTCTATTTTTAGGCTGTTGAAATAGCCTAATTGTTTCTCGGAAGACCACATTATTTTATTAGTTTTTATATTTTTGTTGTAGACTTTGCATTTATCTTGCAAAATTTTCCAGGCTGATACCTGCCGCATGACTGAAATAAAAACCATTGTAAAAAATAGCTCCATCTCTTTGTCATCATTCACTTCCATATGCTGTTCCTCATTCTAATTAATCTCACTTCTTTTAGTTGAACATGTTTTCTCTCCAACATCATTCTTTAACTTTTTGCACGAATGGTCTCTTGGTATTAAACTTCTTCCATTGTAGACATTGAAGGAAACACTTTATTACTTTCTGCCAAGAGTTCCCTCATTAACGCAGCTGTGGATCTTCCTTCTGATCTGCATCAAGTACATCCAAATTCGATTGTCCATGTGAGTTGTGATTTCTAAGATTAGCTGTGTAGCTTTTAATTTTCAAATATCGCTGTTAAAGATTGATAGACTTATCATGTAATCCCAGGGATACGTCTGCAATATAATTGAGACGGGTTGCTTTGTTCGTTTCCTTGGCCATTTGACTGGTTTCTCTCCAAGGAAAAAGGTGAACACATCATATTAGTCATCTGATTTCAGTGTTTCTTTAGTCTTATCCTGTAATTACAGCCCAAGCAATTTGATTCTCTCTTTTTCCTTGAAAGGCGATGGATGTGCAGAGAGCAACTCCTTTGGAAGCCTTTTTCGTCGGGCAGTCTGTTCGGAGTAACATACTTGATGTTGGTGAAACCTTTGACAGTCGATTGTGATTCACCCTTTTTTAATAGCTGATTGCTCATTTTTCGTTTTCAATTTTCTTCTTCTCCAGGTTGACAATGAAACAGGTAGAATAACACTTTCGTTGAAGCAATCATGTTGCTCTTCGACTGATGCATCCTTGATTCAAGAATACTACTTCTCAGAGGATAAGGTAGACAAAGGAGCACTTTAACCTGTTTTTGGATACTTTGTAGTGTCTTCATTTTGGTTTTCACTTGTCTCAGTTGGCCCTTGATCAATATGCTGGAAATGAACATTTCCACTATAATTTATATGCAGTCCTGTTCTCTTTACTTGTGTATTGGGACAATCTTTAAATTGCATGGTATTATTTAGTAGAAAATTTCCTCATAAATTTTCACTCCACTATTTTGACTCTTCTATAGAGTTCATATACCTGCATCAATGGGTTGTGACATGGATATGGGCATGAATGTGGTTATGCTCCTCAACATTGGATATTTGATGTCCATGCTTTATTGCAAAACTTTTCTTTATTAAGCTATCCTTCTGTGAAGACAAATAGTTAAAAGAATTAAAGTAGAGATTACTAAAAATATAACCGAAAAGAAAACCAGCCGAAAAAGAATGGTTGAATGTACTAGAAAATTGTATAAATCTTGAGGGTGAACTGTTTTTTGTTCTTTTCTTGAATTTCCAGATATCGGCATTCAATTTTTGGTTCTTTTATATGCCAAGCTCACATATGACGTGGATAAGTAGGCTGTCAAGCTTAGTATGCTTCCTGCTTTTGGTGGAATATGAAAATATAAACCTCATGACTAATGCCAGACCACCATCCCTGCATATCAAAGGAAGAGGACAAGAACTATTTGTGTTTTCACTGCATATTTATGACTGCAATTTGATCTTTTTCTTTCTTGGGAGCCATGTAGGATTCTTTCTTGGGTTTCGCTAGGTGCAGTAATTGTTTCACTGGTTGGCTTTTGTAAACACACAGAATGACAATGGAAATTTTTTCTAAAATGATAGGGTTTCAGCATAGGCAGAAAGCTTTATATGTAGCAATATTATATGTGTATAATAGTTAGTGATAGTTGCCTGGTTGTTAAACCAGTTGGCTGTCATGTGGCCATCTGATCAGTACTTTCAGCACTTTGGTTGAACGTTTGTAGGTCTCTGCCGGACTTCAATTTATGTTGTCTAATTATATTAATTTTGGTTGTCTCATTTTTTTCTCTGTTGGACTACAATTTGTGGTTGTAAACCAGTTGGCTGGGTGATTGTTTAGTATTGCTTCCCAACTGCTCTCCCAACCAATATGGGGATTGGGGGCTTACATGTCGTCTTCTCGATTGTGAACTATGTGTCTTTGCGTTTTATCTTCCGGACGCAAATCTAAGCAGCTTGAATCGCCTTCATCAACATTCTCAGATATTTTGTTACATGAAGGTTCCTTTCCTCTTGGAAAAATTGGCTTAGCTATCTTAGTCAAGTTAACATTGCTCTAGCTGGAATTCATATAAAAGGGAACTCTGGTCACCAGATGCTTCAATACATATTTTATGCTTGTGGGTACTTGGTTGTAAATTGTTTGATGTTCTGCACTACGTTTTCTGTTTGGAAGTTGTCCTTTTCATTTGTCTACAATTCTTCTTTTTGTTTTAGATTGCTAAGCTCCAATCTCCAACCTTAAGTGGAACTGAGATAAAATGGTTCGAAAGATTCAAAATTGGCAGTATTGTTGAGGGAAAAATCCAGGAGAAAAAGGATTATGGAGTGGTCGTCAGTTTTGACGACTGTGCTGATGTACTTGGTTTTATTACTCACTATCAATGTAAGTTCTTTTATGTATGTTTAGTTAGTGACAATTTTATACCTTTCAACTGTTGACTCCAAAAGACAATTGAAACTTGTGCAGTAGGAGGAAGTTGTGTGGAAGTAGGATCTGTTGTTGAAGCTGCAGTTCTCGATGTTGCCAAAGTGGGTCAGCTTGTGGATTTGTCTCTAAAGCAAGTGTTCGTTAACAAGGTCAACAATGAAAGTTCTAATAGCCATTCTGAAAAGAAGGTTAAGTTACTTCCATCTCTTTATATCCCCTCAGTTTGTCTTGATAAACATTTACAAATTGTTTCTGCTTTATTTTTGTAAGAAACGTTGAACGTGAGTGAGTAACCATTAACCGTATCTTGCCTTTATCAAATGAAACCTGTTGTCCTTTATATACCTAACTTAATTCTTTTTTACTTCTCAGAAGCGTAAGAGAGAAGCGAAAAAAAATGCAGAGCTGAATCAGACTGTCACTGCAGTGGTAGAGATTGTGAAAGAAAATTATCTGGCAAGTGTTGGATGTTATGTTGACTTTATTCAGCAAGGAAAAGTTTTCATCACTATCCATGTTACTCCCGTGATTTTGGCTTCTCTTCATTTTTATGTACTTCATTCATTCATTGTTCTAAGGTTAGCATTTACCAAATAAACAGGTTCTTGCAATTCCTGAGTGTAACTATGCTGTGGGATATGCACTGATATACGATTATAACACGCAAAAGGCCCCTCAGAGACAATTTCTGAATGGAGAAAGGTGATATTTTCTTGATATTAGGTTATTTATTTTTTTCGTGTTGTTTTTTCTGGTTTAGTATTATTTCATTTTATAGGAGTGAGTTTTTCCCAGGCTTCTCAAACTGCAGTCTGCATCTATCTCTGATACCTTTGTCTGTTGTCCCCACCCAACACACCACCCCACCCCCCCCCAAACCGACCCTCTCTGTTCTCTCCGTTGGGCTGAGATGGTGCAGAAGATGTTTGTGTTTGAGCTATTTGTCTTGCTTCTGATGATCTTTAGATCGTCTGTGACACCTTTTTTGAAGTTCAAATTTTCAAATCAATTATATAGTTGTCTAGTTTTGATACTCATGAAGGATTGGTGGCATGTTGTTGTTACTTGTTTCGGTGTCTCTACCACTGTTGTGGCACTTCCTGCTTCTGACACGACTTTATGTTTGGCTTATTTGTCTAGATGCTGATAGTCTTTTAGATGATTTATTACTTTGTTTGGTTGTACTTCTTGATTTGATTTTATCTCGTCTGATTATAATATTGATGATGGAATCATGACATGACCTTGTTTTTACTCGTTTCAGTGTCACTGCCACTGTTGTGGCACTTGCTACTCCTGCTACCATGGGAAGGTTGCTCTTGCTTCTTAAATCTGTTGCTGATGTCAGTGCCACATCGAGTTTAAAGAAGGCTAAAAAAATGTCAAATTTCAATGTGGGATCTCTTGTACAAGCTGAGGTAGATGCTCATGAATGTTTGATGTTCTCTAATTTGATATTCTTGTATTTGTTATTGCATATTGTCACAAGGAGTTCATTGAAGTTCTTTTGCAATACACTACATGTAATCTTTCTATACTTGTTTATCATTTACCAGATTACTGGAATCAAGCCTCTTGAAATGCGACTAAAATTTGGGGTTCATCTGCATGGAAGAGTTCACATAACAGAGGTACTTTATCAGTATGTTATTATATTGTTTAGAGCGCATAATAATTGCTCTTCATACTTATACATTAAAAGCATGTGCATTTTGTGTGTTGTTTTCTTGGGCAGGTCAATAATGATAACTTTGTGGATGATCCATTCAAAAATTTCAAAGTTGGGCAAAAGCTAAGTGCGAGAATCATTGCAAAAGCTGACTCATCAAATAAGTGGACAAACAATCAGTGGGAGCTGTCTATAAAACCATCCTTGCTTAGTGGTAAGATTAAGCACATTTTGATGTTGCTATGTAAGTTTTGCCCTGTATTTAATTTGTTTTGAAAGTTATGCTGTGTCCAAAATTCTTCTAAACCGTGCATCTCTGAGCTTGACCTGACAATTTTGTCTTCTAACAAGCTCTTTCGTTTCTCATTTTCTTTTTATTGTGAAATGTGTCAGTCACCATGTAACATCAGCACTTTGTTTTGCCTGGCTATACATGTGCACATTTAAGTTGCTGTGTTGTTGGACAGCCCTTCTATTTGTTAAATTGCAACTGTGGCTCTATAATTTAAAGAATTATTATGGCAACCTATCCATAAAAGTAAAATAGATTAAATGTGCTGAGAATGCTTTAATTTCTCGAGACTCTAACCGATGATATAGTTCAATATCTTGTGCCACTATATTATTATACATGTGTTGTCAGCATTTCTAGTTTTTTTAGACTTACCTCAATCCCTTAAATAATGTATTTAATCATAAAGATAATTCATTTCCGCGATTTTAGTATAAAGGAACTCAGAGAATGTCATTCATATTTGTTTTTTTGATTTCTTATTTAGTACTCCAAGGGGGGTTTTAGAGTCAATTCAACGAAAAACATGACATGCATCATAGTAATTTCAGAGAATGTAAGGGATGTTGTGCTCAAGTAATTTATACAATACTTTATTTTGTGGAGGTTATTCCCTCTTTGCCGCAGTTTTTCTTGCTTTACTGTCTTAGTCCAGCATGAGCATTCGTATGGCGCTACCTCCATCACTCGGTACTCTGAAACTCAATGTGATCCAACTCTCTCCACTATTGGAATTTCAAATCCGCAATATAGATAAAAATTTTCTTCCGTCTAGTAATAGATTATCCTTGAAGGCGAACCTATGTGTAATGGTAAGGCTGCTCTATTGTAACCTGGAGGTCCCAAGTTCAAGTCGCAAAAACAGCTTTCTTTGCAAAAGAAGGGGTAAGGCTGCATAAACGTAACCCTCCTTTGAGCCCAAAAGTTGGGAGCTTGTGAGCAGGGTGCCCTTTTTAGTAATTTAGTATCACCTCTCTCTGATTTTTCTGTACTTATGATTTAAAGGTGCTTTTGACTTCTGGTACTAGCTTCTCAGTGCTAACTGTTTGTACAGATGCTCGTGTAATTGGGGAAGATTTTACCTCTGAGGATTTTAATTTCACTGCTGGACAACGTGTCTCTGGTTATTTATATAAGGTGGATAGTGAATGGGCCTGGATATCGATATCTCGTCATGTGAAGGCTCAGCTATTTGTTCTTGATAGTGCATGCGAAACAAGTGAACTTCAAAACTTCCAGAAGCGCTTTCATGTGGGAAAAGTTTTTTCCGGATATGTTTTAAGCACCAACAAGGAGAAAAAATTGTTGCGGTTGGTACCATGTCCTTTCTCAAATAGGAATAATCATCGTGAACAACAAAAGATTGATGATTCAAGTGAGCAAAAGCTAAAAGATGATGTTACAGCACATATGCATGAAGGGGACATCCTGGGTGGCAGAATTTCCAAAATTCTTCCTGGTGTAGGTGGATTGGTCGTCCAGCTTGGCCCTTCAGTTTATGGTCGGGTTCACTATACTGAAATAACAGACTCATGGGTGTCTGAACCATTATCTGGGCATCATGAAGGACAATTTGTGAAATGCAAGGTTATTGAAATCGCTCGCACAGCCCAGGGAAGTGTACATATTGATCTGTCTTTACGAGCATCACTGGATGGAATGGGTGTTCATAGTACTGAGGATCTCTCCGACAGGTAAACATGAGTTTATGTGAGTTTTATTGGGGAATACCTGATCTGTGTCCTTAAGTATATGTATTTGGTCTTGAGATTATGCTAGTATCTAAATTGTGACCAAATAAAATCATCAACGATATGCTAATAAATGTTATATCCCAAACTGTTATTTGCACTTGCCTTAACAATGGTCCGAGTTGTCATGGGATGAATATACATAAATTCCCCACTATCAAATGAGGACACACTGGTAGAATTTTGTACATATGGCAGAAAATTATCGGTGGATTAGTTGTCCCTGGGACCATTCATTTTTTTTTTTCAGTGTCAGGCTATTTCTTTGATGCATTACTTTAGAACGTATTTTGTTAACCTATACTCTTATCTTTTTTTTTTGGTCGGTATGCTCTTATCATTATGAACTATGAAGACCATCTGTTAGTGTTTGCATTGATTTGGAATCCTGTTATGGTAAATAAAGTTAAAAGCCATTCAGATAAGAAGATGATCTTGTCACAAATTAGTCCAGTTATTTTTGGCCAATCTGTTATTCATTCCACACATTGTCTCCTGTAACTGGGAATTGGTTCGAAATTTTTCTCTCCTAGAAAATGTGGACAGCTTATCAATCAGTTTTGACTTTATCTTAGAGCAGTTACAAAGTATCTTGATGAGGATTTGTTTGATGCCTGATATTTTGTACTTTGATGAGTAGTCATGTTTCTCCTTTTTCATGGTGTTTTAAGTTACTTATTGCATTCTTATATATTGATTATTGTATTCCTCATCCATCTGTCTAAAGAAGATGAAAATTGTTGCTTTTCGAAATTATTCCTAGGAATGGTAATTGCAAATGCATGGAAAAGATTGAGGAGCTATGTCCTAATATGGTTGTACAGGTAAGAGATGCAACAGCTGCAGTATTCTTCGTGAACGTTCCTTGATGCATTTTGTAATTTTTATTGGGTTTGATATGAGGTCATTTTATGTGGGTGGATGCTTGTCTGAGTGTCACTTTAGATGATTTTCCTTGCACTTCTGAATAGGTGCAAATCAGAGATTTCCAGTAAGCTCAGCATCTACATTTTTTGTGTGTAGTTATTGTAGTTGCGGAAATTCAAATGAAATTGTATTCAATCTCATGCTAAGTGTCGAAAATGCATTTATGGCTTCCTTTTATGGACATGTGCAATGACACGAGTGGAAAATAAAAACTCTACTTTAATGTCACCATTGGTCTGTAAAATCTTTTTATTCTTGATTTGAAATAATCTACATGTTATTGCCTATCAACAAACATGGGAAACAATGGGTCTACTCGATATGTTGTTCCAAACCATAGAATCACTTTGCTTATGCTTACGTTAAGGTGGCAATGTCTGGTTTATTTTTGTGTTTTCTTGACGGATTGTACTTATTTTTATGATATAACTTTCTCTTTTTCCTGGTTCACGCAGGGTTATGTCAAGAATATTACGCCTAAAGGATGTTTTGTTTTGCTTTCTCGGAAACTCGATGCAAAAATTCTTGTATCGAATTTGTCTGATGGGTATGTTGATAATCTGGAGAAAGAATTTCCTGTGGGAAAACTTGTCGAGGGCAGGTAACTTCCATAAGTTCTTTGTTCCTTTTAATTGAGAGTAAGAATTTTTATTAAGTGATGTTGGAAACATTTCGTGTACTAAGAAGATTTAGCACAGGGTGTTATCTGTGGAAACATTATCAAAGAGAGTTGAAGTTACTCTGAGAGCATCCAATGCAGCCAATGATGAAAAATCAAGAATTGACAGTTTGTCGAGCCTGCAGATTGGAAGTATTTTATCTGGGAGAATAAGGCGAGTGGAGTTATACGGTCTTTTCGTCACAATCGACCAAACCAACTTGGTAAGATCATTTAGCATGGACTAGTGAGATTTGATGTTCAGACTCCTTTTGTCATATATAAGGAACTTTGAGTAGGCACTTCCATGCTAATTATTTATAGCTGAATAGTAGAATGGAAGACACAAAAAGTGATCTTGAGAAATTTTGATGAAAAATCTTCTTTTCTATTGCCCATGTCACTATTTCATGGTAATGATTGTCTGATTGACAATTTCTCATTTCTTTCCTTTCACTGCTGATGAGTGCATCGACTTTTGTTTCTATTATTTCTTAACACCATTTTTAACATTAAGACTTGGTCATTTGCTTCCTGCATTACTGACTTATGACTGAACTCGAATTTAGGTTGGACTATGTCATATATCAGAGCTCTCAGATGATCCTGTTGACAATATTGAATCTAAATACAAAGCAGGGGATGAAGTTAGGGTGAAGATATTGAAGGTAACTTTCTTATTTTAAGATGTTGGAACAGCATGGAATTCTCTTTCTGTTCCTTTGATTACACATGCTACCTCTCTTAGTGTTCAGACCCATTTTGAGTGTAACTGTGTTCTATGATGGATATCCTTATCAGGTCGATGAGGAAAGACGCCGAATCTCTCTTGGGATGAAAAACTCATACTTCACAAGTGTCAATGGTATTCAAGTACCTTCAGACGAGGAATCTGATGAATTGATTAGAGAAAATGGATATGGAGATGAAACCAAGCTGATGTTGCCATCCAGCAGTTCTCATGGGATCCAGCATATGATCAGTGATAATGAAAGTGAAGAAGATGCTGCTCTTGCACAAGCAGAATCTAGAGCTTCGATTCCCCCACTTGAGGTCACTCTCGATGAAATTGAGCACCTAGATGAAGATAACATGATCATCCCGGAGGAAGGTCATGATGATGAAGTGAAAAACGTTGAGAAGAACAGGAGACGGACAAAGAAGAAAGAGAAGGAAGAGAGGTCATTCTGCTATTAAGTTGGTCCAACTTACTTTAGAACTTAACTGCCCATTCCCTCATTTTGCAGCTTTTGATTCCTTTATCGTCCTGTGCAGGGAGCAAGAGATCCGAGCTGCTGAGGAGAGACTTCTGGAGAAGGATATTCCTAGGACGGCTGAAGAATTTGAAAGGCTTGTTAGAAGCTCTCCTAATAGCAGTTTTGTTTGGATAAAATACATGGCCTTCATGCTCTCTTTAGCCGATATTGAGAAGGCTCGTTCCATTGCTGAAAGGTAATAGCTCAGTTAACCTAACCAATGTCTGTCTATCACCGAAGTGAAAGATAGCAAAAGATGGCAAAGGTGAAGTAATTTGTATGGTTCTCGGCCATGTGCCAGTTAAGTAGAAAGAATTGCCGTAGAAGATTTGATGTTGATAAAAATAAAGCTAAAAGAAGGTTTAGCATGGAAAGGTCATTGCAAAAGTTGACCTAAAGTTGATTTCATGTGTATCTGCCGGTCAACACCAGTAGCTTGTTTGCTTTCTTGCTTCTTATGTGAGTAACGCTAGGAAGAGCTGCCTTTTTTTGTTTGCTTTCTTTTGATTTATTCTTGTCCATGAATGAAGTTGCTATAACTTTGGTGTTCGAGTTATGGCATCAAATTATGCCATATGCTGAGTTACATCATTATGCATTGCCCGGTGGATATTGGAAACACAGACAGCCTCTTATCTCTACAAACCTGAACGCAGCATTCATTTTGTTCCCTCAACTTCTGTAATTCTTTGTTTTTCTCAAACTTTATGACTTCAACAAGTCCTGTGACAGTTCGCCCTTTTCTGAGGTCATGATGTTTTTTTTTGTATATTCATGTTTAATATTATAGTTGAAATGGAGTTAGGTAGCAAAAAATATCGTTTTAGCTCCCTTTCAAATTCATTGTATTGTTAACATCTATATCATCTTGTTTTTGTTTGAAGGGCGCTGCAAACAATTAATGTACGAGAAGAAAATGAGAAGCTTAATATCTGGGTTGCTTACTTTAATCTGGAAAACGAGTATGGAAATCCTCCCGAGGTGATTATTATCTTATGATTGTTTTATGTGCTATGAATCTTACTTATCATTGCTTTTGAAGTTACTGAAATGGTGTTTTCCTCAGGAGTCTGTTCTGAAAGTATTTCAAAGAGCTCTACAATACTGTGATCCTAAAAAGGTCCATCTAGCTCTTTTAGCGATGTATGAAAGGACGGAGCAAAATAAGTTGGTCGATGACCTCCTTCAGAAAATGGTTAAGAAGTTTAAGCATTCATGCAAGGTAAACTAAATGTATCATACAATTCATTGTCTTATCTTGTGGCTTTAAAACTTCTTGCTTCATATTTAACGGGATTGCAGGTATGGTTGAGGCGGGTGCAGTGGTTTTTGAAACAGCATAATGAAGGTGTTCAGCCTATTGTAAATCGCGCTCTATTAAGTCTTCCTCATCATAAACATATAAAGTTCATTTCACAAACTGCGATTTTGGAGTTTAAATGCGGAGTTCCCGATAGAGGTCGCTCTCTGTTTGAGGGAATACTGCGACAGTATCCAAAGAGGACTGATCTTTGGAGCATCTATCTTGACCAAGTGAGTCCCTTCGGCTTAGTAGTTCAAAAACCTGAAGTTTTTTCTAACCTACTTATGTTCCGAAATTTGCAGGAGATGAAACTAGGAGATACAGATGTCATTCGCGCACTCTTTGAGAGAGCAACTAGTCTAAGCCTTCCACTTAAAAAGATTAAGGTGGGTTTCAACTAAGTGGGTATCTTTTTCTTTTTTGGAGAAGCTTGACTTTCATTCTTTGACTAACGTGTAAATCTGCATGTTTCCCGCCTTGCAGTTCTTGTTCAAGAAATATCTTGCTTTTGAGAAAACCTTGGGTGATGAAGAACGAATCGAATATGTGAAGCGCAAGGCAATGGAATATGCTGAGAGTACACAGGAGTAAAACAAGTTTGTTTCTCACTGGCAGTGGTTTCTTGTGCAATATCTCGATAAACCGCCATCGAGATGCTTCAGCATGTGGTGCTTCAGCAATACTGCTGAAACATCGCTGTGGCAAAGAGACTGATTTTTCTTGTTTGACAACCCAAAAGATGAGTCGATCTATCACAAGGATGCCGCATCTTGTTTCTTGTTCACTTGTATCCGTAGCAGCTAATGTGCCTATAGGGTATAAACATTTCTCCATTTAACTCTTATTTCAGGGTTTAGTTTTTTAGTGTAGGAATTTTGGCAGCTTAAATCACCAGCGGATATTATTATGTACGAGTAACTGCACTTCTGGTCTTCCTAGGGAAGAAAAATCTTGGAGCAGAGTCATTTATTCTTCTATCTCTCGTATATAACAAGCTTCTTTGTGTTCTCTTTACGCTTCCAAAAGTGTTGGCGTGTTATCAATCATTGTTCGACCTTTTCTTATAAAATACGAAGTTCTATCTGACTGGTGTATGCCATCTCAATTTGTTCTGATGGATGGAATACAGTCCGCGTGACTGCAGAAACGACGTGAACACGGGATTTCCTGCATTCCGGTTTATTGTTCTCCTTAGAGGAGGCATACAACCTCATAATATATGCCAAGCAAGCTCCAATGACCACGACTCTGCTTTCGGTTGGAGTCACTTCACTTGTCCGTAAACGATGCTCAATTTATGTTTTAGCCGAAAATAGGGAGCCTTAGCTGGCCATGAAAATGTTTATCTTTACATGATTGTTTTTCATTACCTGTGATATCATTCTTTGAGATTGGTTTGTCTATCGGAGCAGGCCTGCCCGAGTTAATTCTCGCTGAATGCTTATTATGACAGATGACATGAATATGCCACTACTCGATGCTTTGTACAAACATTGTGCAGAACAACAGGCCCAGAAACCTTTGGAACAATACAAGAACGCGGCTCCATGAAAATGATAGCAGATTAGATTTGATTTCAGCAGCTAACGCATCCTAATGGTTAGTTTTAACTTTCCAAACAAGTCGGATCATCTACATCAGCTAAAACTCAACAGCATATTTTAGACATAATTGAAATTCACCTCCCAAAGAAAAAATATTTTGACAGCATAAGAAGAAACTATTACTCCTACATGATTTTCATGATGTGCCTCATTGTAATCCAATTGGCAAATCGCTAAATGACCAAATGCAGCTCCGTTTGTTTGCATTGTCTTCTGCTAGTGGCCATCCAAGGTTCCCAGGGATTCTTTGAGGAGTCTCTGTACCTCCTCTCTCCTCCTACAAAAGTGTCAAAAAAAAATTGTCAGAATCTAACCATGGGCAGACATACGGAGGTATTACAGTCGCTAGTTTCTTGTGCTCATGATACGGCTAGCAGTAACATGATTTCGGAAAAAGCAATTAAAGCCCACACTTCAGAAATATGCCTTTAAAAAATATTTTACTATTCAGGAACAGCACCAAACCAGACATACCTCTTAATGTCTTCAACCGCCTGTTTACGCCGTTGTATCTGGAGTTCCAGGATGTGTATTAGTGTCGCTCTGGCCTGAGGGCAGAAGAATCTTCGATGAGGGGTTGATACTCAAAGATTGCTAAAACACATCATAACTGAACTCTACCTGATGGGGACGTAATGAATTGAGAAGGTGATGTACATTCTTGAATATAAGAGAGATTTCCTCCACCCTCCTAGCATACTGTGATGGTCTCTCGACAAGAACATCAGCCAGCTCCAAAAGGTGCAGTTGCAGTTCTCTGTTCAGCGATCTCAGTTCCTTCTTGAAATCTGAAGGACAATACTCATGACTTAGCATTCATAGCATAACCAAACTATGGTTTGAAATAAGTGTTAGTATTAGATGCACAATAAAAGGAGATGAGGTAGCATGTACCCCCACGCAATTTTTCTCGTGCTCACTCACCTCCCTCTCCTCTCCAATACGAGATCATTTTGATTATTGCTAGCTACTATGTGATAAGAGAATAACAAAAACGACAGCTAGAGAGCCAGAGAGACCAACACAAATTCAGACAGGTTAGAACAGTTAAGCAGGTAATTATGTCCCTGATATCCCCTCTTTTTAGACGCAGACTAATATCTGGAAGATGTAGAACGTGGCAAGAAAAGGTTCCAAATCAATCAGGTCAATAAACACGGAGAAGATATTTTCACCCTTGTATCCAAAAGACAGCATAATCAGCATTTGCCATTTTTCAGTCTACTTAGCAATAAAGGCAGAGCCTCTAATAACACATCGCTTCAGCTCTTTCAACTACCGCGTAAAAACAGTAAAAGAAATTAGAATGCAGCCAAAGTTCCAAGACTTGTACAGGGCCGAAAGACCAAAAATCAGTGAGTAAGTCACAGATAAAGGGAGAAAGTCCATTCTTGTATACACATATGGCCGATATATCATACACATGCTAGCTTATACAAGTGGCCTTTGGAAGGGACGGGACAATGCCAGATGAGTAAAAGGAGTCAGTTGAGACATGGCAAGATCAAAAGGAATAATGCACCGCTTTAAAAGTCAGGGGAACTAAAGCGACAACAGCTGATGCCTTAAAAGCGAGAATCATGCAGTCTAAGCAATACCAAATCCCAGAATACATAAAAATATAAGAAACGCAAGCGAGCTAGGAAGCCATCACAAATAACTCTTCTAGCCGATTGCATATCCTCCAATCAACACCATCTCTTCTAACCCATCCACCACGATGACATATATTATGTATTGACCAGAAAGACTAACTAATGGCAATGCAAGGTAATGACATTAATGCTTCTATCAGTGAAAATGTTCAAGAAAAATATATACTTCAATTTCAAAGAAAAGTTATCACAAGAAAAAAAAATCAGAAGACCTTAATTGCAAATATCTGCATCTTACTTACATATTTGGTATCAAGTATCAATGATTTACAGTGAGTTATAGTTAATTATAAGATAAAACTCATATCCCGTTGTAAACAGTTACGACTTAAGTTAAGAGCTAAATTGCGGTTCAAAGCCACAGTTACCCCATATACACATTATCAAAGAGATAAAGGGGTTAAAGGAAACCATGATTTGACACTGATGCAACTTGTTTCGATAAGGGTTCCACCACTTATGAAATGGCACAGCATTCCCGCAAATCAAGTCAGCACAATTTCTGTTCGTAATATTATCAAAGCGTTAAGCTGGAAGCTTAAAATGTTCTCAGGATGCTATGGAATGATGTGGGTGAAGCTATCAGCTAATTGATTCCATCACATAATTGCGATAACACGGTAAAACAAGCAGGCATTATACAGAATATGAAAATGGGCATTACCAATATTAGGCCCTTTAGGGTAAAGCTGTCTCACCCCCTGCTCTTCCAAGCTGGGAAGCACGTCATCGGTCTGCAAACATACAAAAGGGCACAAACAAGTCTGATCATCATCAACATAACATGTAATTCCACAGCCGAACCATCAGCTTCGAAAGGAAAAACAGTAAGAATAGAAACAGAAACAATCAACTGGCGACAAACTTCCTCTTTCCTTCCCCTTCTAGAAAACCCCACAAACCATACGAATGAATTTCTCAAAATGCACGAGTAAAGCACAAGACTTTGACACCGGAAAGCATCAAAACCAAACCAGGCACATCCATCACCAAGACCCGCGATCACGAAGACTAGCTTGAGAGTAAGACAATCAAGAAATGGGGGCAAAACTCACGGTGTAAGTTCCGCCGAAGCACGTGTAGGTGCCCTCGATAGGAGGGGGAGGCTCGGGAGCCGATTCCGGGTCCTGTGCGTAATCCTTGTAAAGCCTGTAATACGGTGGTGGCGGTGGATACGTCGCCGTCGCCATCGCAGCGGGGGGGACGACTCCTTGCCAAAACCTACAAGAACCGAAATGAAATTCAAGAAGTTCAAAAGAAAGAACTCCGACGATTGACAAAACTCAAACGTAAGGAGTGATCACAAGAACCCATGTAAGGAAAGGAGAGATTCATCGGAAAAAGCGAACCTTTTTTACTTTCAATCTACTGAGCAATTGAGATTGTCAAGGTGTTGATCGAAGCAACCACGGAGAGAGAGAGAGAGTTTCAGCTTCGAACTCTGCTGTAAATTATGTCTGCTCGTATCTGGCGACAAAAGAGACAAAGCCGCACGTGCCTGCCCCGACCCGTTTGTGCGGTTCGGGCCTGCTTCATTTGAGATCCGGCCCGAACTTCGAAAGCCCGGACCTGCCCGAATCGATTTCAAAAGCTAATGTAGAATTAAGAGAGTTTTACAAAGAAAGAAATCTTCGAATGATCCGAATAAATGTGTATTAAAAAAATATGCAATTTAGAAAACGATATAGTTGTCTTCTTGTTTTGGTGTTTTTAAGCATAAAGTAAGTTTTTGACTTTCTTGTCATATTTTTAATTAGATTTTGATACGTCGTATTGATAATATAATCACTTTGTGATCAAAATACGTGATGTGTAGGCACGGTGACCGAAATTGTTCTCCGATTTGAATTTCCTACATGGACATTCCTGGAATAATTTGGATGATGATGTAACTATCTTGTAACAGGACTTGATCATGTGCAAGAATTGTAATTAAAATTTCACTTTTTACAATCAATCGTTGATGTTATTTTTGTGTTATAAAAGATACCTCCATCTTTCTTTTGTTGTCTTGTTGGCCAAAGGCCCTAGCTCCATTAATGGGGCGTCGAGATATTTCATTGGATTAGAATCCAAAGGTCATTTATTTAAATCCTATCAACTGAGTTTAAAATGCTTTGGATAAGAGTAATTAGCACAAATTAAAAATCTAGTTTTTAATATGTCTATGAGGCCTCTAAGGGTGCGGGAGGGCATTTTGCCATAGCCTTAGCATTGATTTTAGGGCAAAGAGTTTTTTTATTTTTTTTGCATTTAGTATTTAATACATATTATTTGCATCAAGGAGTTTGCTTTTTTTCAACAAAAAAAAAATGCCACAGCAACCCTCCTTGATAACTTGAGCGATGCTAGAAGCTCCAACAATGGCCATGGCCTAGGTCGTGCAACCCCAAGTGAGCCAAACTAGAGGGCCTTCGACGTTGTGCAACCCAAGCGATGGATTGTCTAGGTTGTGTGACCTCAAGTGATGGGCCACCAAGGTCGTTGCACCCCAGGCTAGGCAATGTCGAGATCGTGCAACATCAGATAAGCCAGATACAAAGTCCAACGCCACACAAGCAGGGCATTGGATCTTGACTCCAATGCTGCACGAGGCAAACGATGGGTCGCGAGACCCCAGGCAAAAGACGTCGGCATCTGCTCAGCTCCTTCAAGCCACCTCCACGAATCCTAGATCTCCGGGATAAATACGACGAATAGTGTAAAATTAAAGGGATAAAAGAGGAATACAAAAAATTGGTGAGGCAAAATGATTTTGAAAAGGCATCGAGAGAAGGGCCTTTTGAAAGGCATCGCATTTCCCAAATGATTTTCAAATTTCTTCACCAAACACCTTAGCATTTGCACAAGTCCTTTGGAGGCCCAAAACCGTTAAGTGTGTGTTCTCAAAATGTTATTCTGTCCGACTCTTTCCGTTAGGTTGACTCAGCACAACTTGCAGGCCCCAAGAGATTCGCCGTCCATTGCGTTGGTGATTGGAACATCGGTAATGGGTTCCATGTTTGGACAATTTTTATTTTATATATTTACATAAATTCATTCCTATATATAATAAATAAACACACGCTTAGGGCACGTTTGGCAATCATTTTGTTCTCGAAAGCTGATTCTGCTCAGAAATAATTCTTTTTTATTCTGTGCCCGGAAACAATTTCTAAGCATTTGAAAGCGTTTAATAACTGCCCAAAATTTCTATTTTTGGAATAGAAAAAGAACAGAAACGCATTTAGTAACTGCACAAAATTTCTTTTTATTAATAATATGTTAATAATATTTTGAATTTTTTAATATTTCTTTCTTTTTTTTCTTCTTTTTTTTTTCTTCCCCTTCCCCTTCCTTGGCCATGGCCAACGAGGGCTGACCGCAGGCGATTGGCCACAGGCCAGGAAGAAGATGAAGAAGACGACGACAAAATTTTTTTTATTGATTCTTGATTTTGTTCCAAAACTGATTCTGAAAACAAGAAGCTACTTTTTTCTGCTTTTTGATTATGTTCAAAAATTGATTATGAGAACAAATTTTGGCAAATTTGTGCTCGGAAACAAAAAATTTACCAAAGGGATTTCTGTTCCAAAACTGATTCTGGGAACAAAAAAACAGAAATTTTTATTATTTGGCAACTTGCCAAACACGCCCTTAACACGTATTAGTTCAAAACACGTGCATTTAATAATTTTTTTTAAATTAATTGATGATTACACGCTCCATTTGGCGCTGCCCTTGTCATCATCAATCGATCTCGTTAATCTCGTCGTTAACCCAACAGCGACGGTTAAAAGCCGTTGACCTGGACATCACAAAACATCGTTTTTTCCAAAAAAAATGAAAGGGCAAAAAAAAAAGGAGAGAAAAAACTCAAACAGCGAAAACTCTCAAACGTGACTCCCCCCCTTCTCTCTCGCTCGCTGCTCGCTCTGAGAGGCATTGGGTTCCTTCGTTGCACGACAGCTCGTTCCGGATCTCGTCCTGATCGCGTCGCCCCCTCCGTCTCGTCGTCGGATCCCCGTCAGAGCAATCTCTTTCGCCGGAAATTTTTCCCGTCCGGCGGCGGCTGGAAAATGCGGTGATCGACGAGGTTTCGTACTCTGATCTTCTGTGATCGAGCTGATCGTTGCGCGTTTTCGTTTCGTTCGAATTGGGTTGTAACATGTCGGGCTGATTGCCGCGCGCGTGATTTAAATTTCAATCATTTGTTGACATCCCCATTTCTTGGGGGGTGCTACTTGAAGGGGTGAATAAAGGGTCACTGATGTGGGGCAGATGTATGCAAATTCTATCTTTTGCGGTCAAGTTCATCTTTTTTTTGGGGAATGCATGGAAACAAAGTGCTTGTGATTTACCAAGAATTCAGAATTCCTGGTTTCGCTTTTTTTTTTTTTTTTTTTTTCTGGTTGCGAATGGTTGGCATCTCTCCTAACAATGATCAGCCTCAGGTGGTTTCTTCATTTCGGTTAATCTTTACGCTTGGATGCTTCGGCGAGCGACATGGAACATGTGCACGAGGAGATTGGAGATGAGAAGAGGGCTCCCTCAATCCATTGCGATCTTTACGACACGGAGATATCTCGCAAGATAGCTCAAATGCTGCTCCCTGGGCTGGCCACGGCTTGCGTGGACAACACGACGGGCGATATCTTCAGGACCCCGGCTTTGGTGGCTGTAGATTTGAGGAAAGAGTTCGTGGAGTATCTAACCCAAAGGAGCGAGTCGTTTGTGGCCGAGACCGCTATCCTAGAAGGGGATTTAGCTGCCGAAGCATCTGATGATCCTTATGAAATAGTAGCTGATTTTGCTGACGACTTTGCAACTTTGAAGATGAACTTGTTCGGTAGGATTTCGGGATGGCTGCTGAGTGAAAAGAGGGAGGACAAGATAGATGATATTGTCCAGGAGATGGAGCTCAGTAAATTTTGGGCTATAGACAGGAGAGAAGCAATCGCACGGACTTTGCTTAAAAATGTTGATTTCAAAGGTGCATTTCATTGTGTCATGAAATTTCACACTGCTGAAGACCTGGCCGAGCACGTTGCCAGTTGTGGATTCAGGTCTATGATCTGCACTAACGAGGGCTGTAACACTAGATTTACAGCAGCCCACTTGGAAAAACATGATTTAGCTTGTCCGTTCAAAATAATTCCGTGCGAGCAGAATTGCTCGGAAAGTCTCATGCGACGTGACATGGACAGGCATTGCATAACCAACTGTCCAATGAAGCTTATGAAGTGCCCTTTTTATCAAGTTGGCTGTCAGTCAACTGTACCTCAATGTACTCTCGAGCAACATAATCATGATAATCTCCATGACCATGTGCTGCATGTTCTTCAAAGATATCGTAAGGATGCATCAGCTGATGATCTCAAACGTCAAGCGGAGCAATTAGAGGTTAGTTTATTCAGTTGTGCAATGTTAGTTTTCTTCTTGCACAGAATTTGCATGTCAGAACATCCTATAAGCAACTGTCTTATTCTTTCGCACTTTGCCCTCCGCAAAGTTCTTAACAAAACAAAAGAGTTGAGAGTTCATGAGGTAGCTCCTCAATAGTTGTATAGCTTTACCAGAAAAGATTTCTGACAAGCTTTCATATTGCAGCATGCCAAGTTTATTTTAGAAGACTTCACCAGACGGTTACACTATAATTTAATATCGGAAACCTTCAAATTTTAACAGCATTTTGTTTGGATTTCATTTCCTGGAAAATTACACTAAGAAATTACACTCTGCTGATTATTTATTGGAGTAGCATGATGTAGCACACGTGACACAGTACTAATTGTCAAGCATGGACACTGATATTTACAGTCATTCTATACAGTTGTCGTTTTCCGGTGAACTAGCCTTGGCTCGCGATGTGAAATCTTTAACCCTGGCTCTCAAGGATTTGGAAGCAAGGTTACCGCAACCAGAAGCCTATATGACTAGTGGTCCGCAACCGGATGCCTACACGACCACATCTGATGCAGAGCAGACAGAGGTTTCCAGTTCGGCTCGCTTAAACATAGACTATGAAAGTTAACATCATGTCACCATCTTGTTCCCAGGCACCTTGTGAGATGAAAAAAAGGTTCAAATTGCGGCATATTGCAACTTCTCAATTTGAGTGATGGGTCGGTAGATTATTTGGTCTACGATCTCGAGGTTTTGCTTTTGCTCATCTGTGCAATTTTTGGTTCATATAGCTTATCATCTTTTTCTTGACCTCTCTTGTTTTGTTCAACTTACGAAGAAGCCTATTTGTTTCTCTACTTGTGGAACGCATAGATGGAGGGATGTGTTTCCACGTTTTGTTTTTGTCAAAATGAGGATCTTCTATTCTATTTTTTTTTTTTTGGTCAAAGGATCTTCTATTCTATTTGATAACATATATGTTTGACTATTTATCCTCATCAATTACGCAGACAAATTTGGCTAGTGTGTCGCTATTCGTGTTGTATTTCATAATCACCTGCTACCTCTACAGATCTGGAAGATGAATGATTCACGGTGGAATTCAGAATGTGCTCTTGGACTGCAGTTTCCTGAAATTCACTCCAATATTAGGCTATAAAAAGTTGTCATATTCTTACTCATCTAGGCTAGATTACCCAGCCACTTCGAAACAGAACCTTCATGTTCATCATTGCATCTGTACGTTAAGCTAAGAAGTCAGTCCCATCGTAGTCTTCATTTTGTGAGCCATTTTACGTGCTCTAAGTATGCTTAATCAGTCTTTGGCAAGAAAGAAAAGATTGCTTAATCGGTAGTTGTTTCTTTTTTCTTCAATGCTCGAGAACCACCCGAGATGGAAACTAGAGTTCATGATATCTCACTCCGTGGCGTGGATGCAGTTTTTTGATCCAGGTCTGTGAAATGTTTGCCCTAATCATATTGACAGCCTCACTCTCAATGCTTACAAGAAGTCGAGACGGTTGCTAACACTAAACTTGCTTATCCATTTGCTTCCGTAACATCCTGGTCCGAATCCATGATACAAAAATTACACTGGGGGCTATGATATGCTCAAGCACCACCGAACAATACAATGCTCATCATGTTAATGATATACGCCAATGACATGCAATCAAAATGCAATACCCAAGTTATGCTCTTCGACTATATGGCTACGTCACAAGTATCTAGCACCCGATTGACAGAGTCCGAAATGTAATTCCAATGATCAAGCCCATGGAAGCTACTCAATTCATGCGCTATTGAACTCTAGAGCTCTTGCGGCCCCCCTATCCAAATTGATGGCATGAAAATACAAATCACAAGATGCATGGGTTAAAATTCGGGTATAATGTCGTCTGTATCTAATCGTACCTGTGGTTTGTGTGCTAATTTTGCTATAACAGAAAGATACTATTATTCTCAGGGTTTCCCTAATGTAACATTAGCGGGCACTAAATAAAGTGATAACATTAATAATACAACATTCCACATTGAGGATACGCCCACAAAAAACTCAGATAAACAGTTTTTGAGCGTCAAAACTCAATTAAGCAGAAAAAAGTGCTTTCTACTTGAGAGGCCCACGTATCAATCAATGCAAATTGCCAATATATCCTTGTCTTCAGAGACCAACGGAAGTTCCTCTTAGGCACGAAGTCCCCGGTTCAGACTTACCATGCGAGCCGAACCATCCAGATGAGACGCCCTTGCTGCAGAACCAGTCTGATAAGCAGACCTCCCTGATCCACCATGAGCAGAATCCTGATACCGGTTGCCACCAGAATATCCACCTGTGCCACGAAACTGCCTGGAATAGCCACCGCCACCGCTTGTCATTTGCCTCCCACCGCCGGCATTTCCTGACCTCCCCTGAGTGAAAGACGAGCCATCTTGCCACCTACCACTACCTACAGCTGAGCCCGCAGCATAGTCCTGGCCATCTCTCCTTCTCACAGGCAAATCCAAACCACCACCGCCAATTCTAGCTTCTGCAGCCCTCTCATTACTTTCTGCCAGAATTGCCAGTTTCTCCGTGAGATGGAAAGCTAGGGCCTGGAGCCTCGTGTGCTCAATGTCATGGAAGATAACGGACCGGGTTGGCTGGTCCCAGCTAGCATGAAGCTCCTCATTGATCATCATCTTGCTTACGATGCTGTGTGCCTGTGCCTCCGAGAGGTCAAACATTTTGGTAAGCTGATCCAAGCTGAATGAATCATAGGAGGATGAATAGGTAAAGAGATAGGTCCTCAGAGCCTCTTCCTTAATCTTAGCCTTGACCATCTCAAGGACAGTGTCCTTGTTTCTGAGGAGTTTCCAGATGTCGAGAGACTGGACGACATCGAAGGCCTTCTGGAAGTCTCCCTTGCTTAGGGCCCTCGTGGCTGCCATTACATGGTCCCTCACATTTTCTGGGGGTCCAGTGAATGTGTGCCTCTCGCTCACCTCGAGCAATCGCCGGAAGTTCTTACTTAATACTCTGCGCTTAGCATCGAGGTTGTTTGCTGCCATATTGGGGACTTCTAATAGCATGGCACAGATTAGATGGACGGCTTCGAGAAGCTCAAGGTTTATGTGCATGTGATAAGGCATTTGACGTCTCCTTTCCATTCTCTCCTAAAATGAGAATAAAGAAGTTTCACAGCATGAGCTCCCGCACAAAAGTGAATCAAAGGAAAGGGAAAGAGAGAAAAGAGAAAAACTAAATAAAATTTTTTGCAGAGCAGAGCAGGTCTTTCTCAAATGGCAAGAATCAAGTTATTCACTAAACCAAAGCCAGAGGGTAAGAGTTGTATATAAACGAAACACTTGCTTGGAAATTAGAAAATCCCATTCACAATTGATTATCAAGTAATACAGGGTTGTTCATAAGCATAAAATTCGACAACCATCCACAACGGACAAGGACTTCGTACCTGCTCTGGGGTCTTCTCATGATACCGACTTTGAGAAACACCTTGTGCAAGTAATTCCTTTACCCTTCCACCTGAATATAATTCAGAAAGGCAACCATGTCCTTCAGCTATAAGGCCAACCCGAAATGCACACAGACCAAGCTGTGCCATAGCCCTGTTAAAAAGTATCTGGGTCGAAATATCCATATGCTGGATGCTATCCTGCAGGTGACTCATCAACAACAGGTCGCGAGAAGTTGAGAACTCATCCAAGAGAGCATGGTGATAGATGTCGCAAAGCATTGCACGGGCCTTAGTTCGCTCATCTCCATACTTGTATATAAGGGACACCAGAATATCCATCAGTGTCCTGCTATTCTCAGGGAAAGTTGGTTTCCTCGGCACAAGTTCAGGAGTATCAACAAATGCAGGTGGGCCCCTGCTCTCCTCAACCTTAGGCTCTTCCCCTGTCTCATCGCCATCATCTTCAGTCTGCTCAGCCAATTTCCTCATAGCATCATAGACACCCTGAGGCTTATAATATACAAGCTCCACCCGCCGTAAAGCCACCTTTGAAGCAGCTTTAAAATCTCCAACACGTTCCAAGTATTCTTGAACATTTTGAGCAAGGACTAAAAACATGGGCTCATCCCTAAGCCTTTCAACATATTCACGTGTGTGAGGATCAATGCATTGCAAGCTCTTAAAAAACTCGGAATCTATCCTCTCTAGAAAGGCTACCAAATTTCCCCAAATCCTAATTGTCCCGTTATGGTCCGGACCCTTCTCAGACTCATTCTCATCAGGCTCCACTGAATCACTAACTACTATGTTGGAATACTGCACAAGAATGTCAAGGATAACAAGCATATTCTGCACGCATTTCTTCCACACATTGATTGGCATGTGACCACTGAGACCCGGATTAACATCAAACTGAGCAGATACAACACTAAAAAGAATCTCCAGCTTCTGGGCAGGGGTCTTAGCTACCTTAGTCAAAAAAGTGAGCTGTTCAACCTGCTCAAACCGACCAGTCCCCTTCCTCCCACGAGCAGCCACGACCTCTTTAAACTTCTTGTTAACAGTTTCCCATGTAATCTCGCTAGGATTCTTAAATTGCCTATCCATTAGCTTGTCTTTCCGGCTCATCTTCTTCTCCCAGCCATCATCGAGACTATCCGCAGCCACATCATCCTCATCATCCTCATCCTCATCAGAAACATTAATCTTGGTAGGGTCCTCAATTTCTGAATCTTCTGATTCTTCGTCCTCTGATTCCTCATCCACCTCCGCCTCTTCCTCACTTTCAGGATGCTCTCTATACTTATTAATCAACTCTTCATACTGCTTATTATTCTTCTTGAGCTTCTGCTTCATTGAATTCAAAGCCTTGGCATTGCTGCTACTCATCTTCTTCTTAGCATCCTTATTTGCTAAAGCCTGACTCAAGAAGTCTTCCAACATCACAAGGGCTTTAATGTAAAGACTGGGAACCTTCTGAGACTCAGTGACCCTCATGACTTTCTCAAGCTGCTTGTTAATCTTGTCAAAGCTCTCTTGCAAACTCACCCAATCATTAATCTTCATAGCATTTTTCATCTGGTCAACAGTGGCAGACATTTCCTCAAAACGCTTATCTTTGGCAGACTTAACAACCCGGTGCTGACCATCAGAAGCATCACTGTCACTCGCATTCCCCTGGAGGTATCTGCTTCCAGCAGCTGGAGCAGTGGACTCACCTGCCTCCATTTCTTCAACATCACTGCCATAATCGCTGCTCTCCTCCTCAGTGTCGCTTCCACCCTGTTTTTAACAAAATATATTTATGGTGAGAACTCTCAGTAATGCTGGTTATGAGTCAATAAGGTGTCTGGTCGCGTGAATATGGTGCACATGAGTGCACCATGTGGGCACGTGTTTGTGAGAGAGAGAGAGAGAGAGAGAGAGAGAGAGAGAGAGAGAGAGAGAGAGAGAGAGAGAGAGAGAGAGAGAGAGAGGTACTGTGTCCACAATTTGTACTCAAAAACAAAAGACAAAACATAGACTCAAACCTGTGTCCAGAAACGCGATGCCATTTTCTTTGGGCCCAAATGAAATCAGTCAATGACCCTCAGATCTGCATATTAACAGGCCACCATAAGGGCATTGGCAAATCAGATAGATCTAAATAGAAAGATACATAACTAAACAGAAAACATCCATATAGCTGAGAATAATTTGATGGGATCTTATTCAAACAAGGTTTTCTTTTCATAAAAGGAAAAACACCAAGCATTTGTGCATTTGGAAGCACGAAATAACGAATAAGAAGTGCATCGTGGGGGTTGGGGGAGGAGACAGAGACTACTCTGCTAGCACCGGGAATTGAGCTCTCTCCATCACACAGACAATTACAACCGGAAGACGAATCCCTAATTTGCAACTAATATTATATACAGTGTCGGGACGGTCAGGGACAGTCCCGGGCCAGGGACCATGTTTCCCTTTCCCGCCCCATGGGGTGGAAAACTGCCCCTTGCGGGTGCAGGGCACCGCTATCCCACAGTGCAATGCGGGGCGCACCGCCTCGCGAGGGGACAACAAGCAATTTTGCCAAAAAATTCTAACTTTTACCTGCATAAACAAAAAAAATCCCTCAAGAAGTTGAAGCATCAACAGACAAGTGCGCATCCCACACTGACAATTAAGGAACTTTTAGACCCGAAAGATCGGAAACGAGAAGACACGCAAAGAAGAGGTCAAGGAAAGTCCAAGGCAAACTATTCAGGCCTTCGGCGAAAAGGCGGATGGTCGTCTATTCAGCCACTATCCACGCCACGATTGCACAAACGAGATAACAGAGGAGCGACCAAAACACAAGCACGCGCACGCACAGAGACGCGCCGTCAGCTTCAGCAGTCGGAGGTGCGACGGCCAGGTGGAGCGCCGCAGCAAAAGAGGGTTATAGCCAGAGAGAGAGAGAGAGAGAGAGAGAGAGAGAGAGAGAGAAAGAGATATGTGTGACGGACCTTTGAGGACGAAGGCGAGCGGCCGCGGCGACGACGAGCTCACGGTGGCGCGACGGCGCGCCGCGGCGGCGGCGGCGGCGGCGGCGGCGAGGTGCCTGAAGCGAGGGAGGCTGGCTACGCGAGGAGAAAGTGCGAAAGAGCAAGAGACAAGCTCGCTGCTGAATTAGGGTTTCTCTATTTTAGTTTTCCTTTTTTTTGAGGTCTCACACGTTACTTTGGACATGGTCGGTCAGTGAACCGGTCCGACCGTGGGTCAGCCGGTTCGACCGCCGGATTGATGATTTGCGTAATTTACAATTGAATTGTGTAACATATATATTTATCTAGGTCATTGGACAAAGTAAAAGTGACTAATAAGTTTGGCTTGGATCCTAGGGGTGAATAGTTGAAGTCAGGTCCTCCTCGATTGAACCGGGCCAATATCGAGTTTTGACCGGTTCTTGACTGCTTTGGGACCGGACCATGGTCCTAGTCCCGATTGAATTGGGCGATCTGGTATGAATTTAAAAGCACCGAGGTAGGGGATAATACCAACACGAAGCAAATAAGGTATAAGGAAACGTTTATTAGAAAAACCGATTAAGGAAAGTACAATCTAGAGTGCGATGGTGTAATTAGTACCGTGTTATCATAAATAGTAAGATACCCTCTAGTGTTATCCTATTCATAATTATATCGGTTTGCCGTGTAATCTTTCTTAATTATAAAAACAATGTTTCAACTTTCAACTTTAATAAAGAGAGCTTTTATTTAAAGTATGTAGATTCATTCGTGTCAATCTTGAACTAATCATATTTATTTCGTGTTTGATTCAAGTTTCTCTCTGTATATTCATGTCGTATTCGAGTCGAATTCTCATGCGTCGTCAAGAATTTTCACCTTTACTTGAAAAAAGAGTCGCTTAAGAATGACTATATGCGAGGCCGTCTAGACTTCTTTTGGCATGAATTGGACATTTATATATACTTCACCTTTGTCTTTCAAATTCGTAGCTAGTCTTGCAAATTTATTTAGAAGACTTATTCCTATTTAAAGAGGGAGTGGATACTTTCCTTATCTATACTTCCAAGTAGCATATTGAATTAGTACGTGGATTTCCCGCGTGAATTTTTGAAGTTCCATTTTGCATTTATTTCGAATTTTGTAATTCCAAATTGAACTATAACATATAATATATAGAAATCGGCTTTAGCTTATGTAGTTAAATCATGTTAATCGACTTTATCATAAAACCTTCTATTAGGGTTGGTTCTCCTTATACAATTAATAAAATTAAATGAAAATTCATCAACCACAATTGACTATTAATAGTGATGGAGAGATGCCTATGGGGGACTGTTTTTTGATGCCATATTCCGAAAAAAATTAGCTGATCTTTGATGTTAAATTTCAGGATGATGGATTGCATCATCTTGTACTATCGGAAAGGACAGCTCACTGGATTTCTCGTCAACCCGAGTGGAGTAATCGATGTCGTAAGCAATGGTAACCTCTTTGATGATCTCTCCAGGACTCCTAAAACTGTTAAAACATTCAAAATAGCAAAAAAAAAATGGTCGTCTGTCCACATGATCAGACATGATACAGCCATCACACTATGCTAAGAAAAAGTAGTGTTAACAAGAACTTATCTGACTTAGCTTACAAAGGTCAAGGCCAAAAACTGCCACGGAAGAACTGCCGAAAATGCTAGCTTCTTCACTCATTAGGAAATGGTACATATCTTTGACATACTATTAGCTGAAACATTTGCAAGGGATGTCTACCATTCTTGAGGTTCTTCCAGAAATCATCGATGAAAAACTAAACTAAATTAGTCTAATTGGCCAACTCGTGATGTTTCTGCTACTAATCTTTTAGGTACCGGCCGATATGGCAGTCAATGCAACCTTAGCAGCCATTGCAAGACATGGAATGGCTGGAATATCGGGAACTAACATTTATCAGATCGCTTCATCGGTCGTGAACCCACTAGTTTTCCAAGACTTGGCTAGGCTGCTCTATGAGCACTACAACATTTCGCCGTGCATTGACTCAAAAGGTAGACCAATCCTTGTCCCATCGATGAAGCTATTCACTTCCATGGACGAATTTTCAGCTTATCTTAGTGGAGATGCTAGTCAGAGAAGCGGGTCGAGAGCCATGACCTCAAACGCAAAGCTGTCCAGAAAAACTTGAAATTGTGTGTCGTAGATCGGTGGAGCAAGCAAAGAAATTGGCCAACATATATGAGCCCTACACAATCTACCGCGGAAGGTTAGCAACTCAAGCTCTCATGGTTATACTAATAAGTGATGAAATCAACTACATGTTGGTCAAGGACCAAAAGGACAGTTTACAAATCTGCCAGCTCAACTCCACATTTCATTCCACTATTTTCCCCTAATGTGCAGAAAAAGAAAAGTTTTCTTATCTTCTTTAAGAGAATGCACTAAACTTAAACGTGGATTTCATTTCTACCTTAACAATCCCAGGTTCGACAACAGCAACACTGAGCGACTGATGGAAAGAGGTCCGAGGAAGAGAAGAGGAGATTCGGGTTCGATGTTGGGGAGCATTGACTGGAAAGATTATATCATTAACGTCCATATTCCGGGTCGGAGATGGCATGTGATGAAAGAGAGAAGGACGTTTAGTTAAAAGGAATGGCACACTAGGTTTTATAACAGTATGTAATGTAATAAAATGGGTGTTAATCACATCTGAAAAGCAAATGAAGACAAGAAGTAGACAATTTTTACCGTTGCTCCTCTATGGTCCATCCATTACAGACACTTATGTGGCCCATCTTAAGTACTTCTATAATGATCACTCAATTATGTTTCATAATAACAAATGATTGATTATGTTTATGATGTCATCGATTTGACAATTGGCTATTGAAGAGAATCATATCAAACCTATACCCATAGTCAAATCTGATGATCTCCTGTTCTTTGCAACAAGCACAATGATATTGAAATAAAGAGCAGAAACATAACTGCACAAGGGGGACTTCACTAAATTTAAGTAGCTTGAAAGGCTTTCAGTTTTACTGAAGTTGTATGCAACGCCTAGACTTTTACACAAGCTGAAAGATAAAAGAATAGCAGCAGAATCTATTGCTAATGAATGCGAGAGAGTAGGAAAAATCTCATGTCTTCCTTTGCCGATACTTCATATCAGAAATCCTTCTAGTCTCCAGATAAACACAGACAGCAGTCACACCTGAAGCCAAAACCTTAGGACAGAAGACTTTGCCGCGCATCCCGATCAGGACTTGCATCAATGTAGCAAATCCTAAGTTCCTCGCCTGCAAAATACCCTTCTAAGATTGCAACACAAAATTGACCCATGCTAAACAAGGAGCAGACTGGGCAACGTGACAACAGTCAGCTGGACAACTAGCCTCATATTTCCCGTATAAGTGTGATCATAATTTTCTTCTGCATTATTATACTGAATTATAATAGATGAAGCCAACAGTCTGACACACGACCACAATGGACAGTCTAGTCTCAAGCTCCATCACGAGACCCACAAAACTATACTTGCTAATCCATTCATCTCATAAATTACATAGCGGGTACCTGTGTAATATTCCGTGATTCTCTACACAATGATTACATCCTCCTCGTTTAGACATGATGTTGGTATCAGATCAGACTATCCATAAATACAGTCTAGCCTCTTGTCCTTGCAAATTGTCAAATTGCAAATCGAACGCATTCTGTACTAAATGCCCACAGACTCACAAATGGCCCACATGCCAAAGGAACTGATGAATTTGGACACTATATGGATACTGTCTCAGGCTCTCAGCATTCTAAGATCTATTTCATAATGGACGATATTAAGGCTTTGAATTAGTAGAAGCATAACAACGGCAAAAGCATCACTAATGATAAGCTGCAAACTTTCAGAGTCCAGACTCCTTGGTACCATGATGATTTTGAAACTAACAGAAGAACAAAGTGCAGCTCATATACGATTGATTCGAAACATAATATAAATTGTTCAGTGTTGAGCATAAACTGTAAAAAGTGCAACGACCTGTATTTTGATTTGAAGTCGCCTGAGTGGGAACCTCATTCACAATGTGACCACTTTCCTGACCACCTTCCACGGGTACCACATGGGTTGAGGCCTTCCCAAGTGGGGGGTTGAGTATCTCACCATATGTCTCTAAAACATAATTCCACAGAGCAATTGATCATTAAGATATAATTCGAATTCCACAATTTCATCCACAAATACCAGCACAAGCATGCACACTCATGCACGAAAAGCGCCTAGATCATGCGAGAAGTTGGCCTGTTCGATGGGAAAAATACGAGCTCAGCTTACTCGTGCAATTGATCTAGATTCTCATCAATTTCAAGTAGCTCCAAAACTAAATTCTTCAATCTTCAAGCAAAAAAAATAAAAAACACTCGAGCAGCTCTTGCGCACCTAATTAAATAATTGGTTTATGATCTCTGTGAAAAAGATTTATATAGATCAATGATGGAACATCGCATCACACTATCGAGAACCCAAGTTTGACCTCAACTCAAGCTTATACTAATCGACTGGAGACAAATTTAGCTCAGGCATATCGAGTATCTTTCAGAATAAAAAACCTCGAGATAACAAAAATCAAGCTTCAGAGCTTTTATTTCTCCAGGAGAGTCATGTTCCGTCTCATCTAGGTTTATTCATCATTAAAGCGATTGAGCTGGTCTAGTACCTGCAATATGCTCGTCACACCTCTTGATTAAATCGGTAATTTTTGCATCCGCAGGAGCCAGAGAAGAACCTACTTCCAATGTTGCTTTGGCAGTCTGATACTTTTTGAGCTCATAAAAGGCATTGCTGTGGGTGAGAGAGAACATCAGCTCCGCATGCCCTCAACATATATCTTTATATAAATGAAGAAAGATGATCCAAATGCGAGTTGTTGTAGAGCTACATGGCAACTTTACATGTATTGCTTTGTAGGGCAGAACATAGCTCTACGTTAGATTTGCCTAGTGTTAGATAGGATTATACCTATTTTTTATCCCACAAACATGTAGATGACCTTCTAAACATCGAAGTGGCATGCAGTAATGTAGCGGAGAATGAAAATTAAAGACAAAGGATAGTCACAATGCATCAGTTAGAAACAGAAGTCTTAAAGTCTTGAACATTTTCAAAGAGGACCATCTCGGAGGACTATGCTAATCTACCGTTCCGTGGATGATTTGTTACTTTGACCAAACCACAATCTCCCTATTTTTGGTAAAGAAAAAAAAAAACGAGTTCCAACGAACCATTATCACAATTACCACTACCACATGCGCATGTAAAATGGTAAGAGGGGGCATTGAGTGATACTAACCCCAAGCGAAAGTATGCTTTAGACATTGAAGGATCTAACTCAATTGCTCTGCTTGCATCGGCAACCGCCTCTAGGAGCATCAAGACAAACACCCTCAGTAAGCAGATAGGTATTTTAAGAAAGACGAATACATTAAATGCTATGACCCAAGCTAACAGCAAACGTTCCTCCATCTTGGCATTCATCGGCAAATAAGTAACAACCAGAAAAGAAAAAAAAAAAAAAAGCTCTGTGCTCTATATTTTCCTTCCCTCGGACAAGCTCGAAAGGCGAACTCGAGATAAAAGCATAAATTTTTGTCCCTCTTTTTCTCTCCGCTTCCGCCAGTTTTTCTCCAAAACCAAGCAGGCTGAATGGAAAATTATGCAAATAGAAAGATCACCGGCTCTCTCTTGGTTAAGAAATCAGAGAGGACAATAAAGAAAGACTTGGCACTTCCTCTGTCCGTACAGGTTCACTATCGAGCAAGCAAGACAGAGCAACCAAGCTGCATACGAATCCCTACTAACAAAATCGCGTTTAAAGCCCTCCGAAACAGCGACCAAAAGACGCGCGAATATGACAATAAGAGAGAGGGGAGTAAAAGTGGCACCGGTGAAGTTGCCGAGCATCAGATGGGCCTCAGCGCGGTCGCTGAATAGCTGGGCGTCCTCAGGGCTCAATGAAATTGCTCGGGTGAACAATTCGACGGCGATCTCGTAGTCCCGCTCCACGTATGCTCTCACCGCATGGAGTGACAGATCCGACGCCGTGCCGAAGGATCTGAGAAGCAGAAGCCTCTCCATAATCGCAGCAAAGGGGAGAGTGAGAGGGAGAGGCTGGGCAAAATACAGATCGCTATTCGGAGGAGTCTTGTGATTCTAGCGTGAAGTGATCCTCTTGAATATATATATATAGGTTTTCCATGCCCAGAAGGCTAAAACGGTAATTTCGCGGCATGAAATCACCCAAAGTAGAAATCACCTCGAATAAACCATCGATGAAACCCTCTTCAGAGATTCTCTTGCTGACAAATTGGGCAAAAGGGAATATTTCGCTGTCCTCTTTTTATTCTTTTTGATGTGTTTTTCCCCCCTTCAATATATCTCCTTTCCCTTCCCATTCAATTTCGTAACGCCATAAAAGGGGACCGGGCTGTGCCGCTCTTTAATTGCCCCCTAAATTACTTTTATAAAATTCCGTTTCTCTTTTTAAAAGATTTGGTTTTTCTTTTTTGCCGCATCGCGTGCTCATACTAAATCATGAAGATGGGTCGTGTTACACCCCAACACCTATCATGATGAGGGGTGACACGGCCGTCCTTCCACCCGAAGGACGCAGCCTCAAACCACAAGGAATCCAACTCCCAAAATAGTCCCAACGACATCGCTCTCGCTCTATTGGCTACTAACCAAGGAACCTGGAAGATTAGGAAAAGAGAGGGGTGAGCAACTACAGCTCAGTAAGTAGTGCGTATCTCTTCTAATCAGATCGAGCAACCACTATGCATACATAAAGCAATACCAAAAACTCATAATTTAAAATCCACAATATCATATACATATCATATCAAATATGAGTTATTTTCCTTTCACAAAACTTGATACAAACCAAAAAAAATACTCATTTGATACACCATCACAATTCAATCATCAATGGTCAAGTCCATTGATTAATCTCGTCAAATCACACGTCAATGGTCTATTCCATTGACTAATCTCATTATAGAAGGCCTCGTTCGGGGTAGAGGCGCAGCCGCACTGCCATCCCTCAACCCGACCCGATATTATCCTTTTTGAGCCGCAGCCGCACTGCCATCGCTCTCAAGGATTTGCCCTGGCACAGCAGAAAACACATCGATGGTCTATCCATCGATCAATCTATTGCTCAATATCAAACCATGATCACGCATCTCACCCCGTGATAAGGCGACCAAGATTCCGCCTTGGTAAGGTCTCCACCTACTATAAGCCGGTGGCTCGGCCCACAAGGATATCCTAGACTAGTATGCGCATACCCACAAGCCCCACATTGGGCTCACAGTGATATTGAGCACCAACACAAACTCACAACAATACTCTTCACAATTCACAAAGCCAATCCAGAATAAATCACATTTTGGTTTTACAAACCACAGCATTTAATCTTCACAATACATTTCACATGGCATTTCTCAAGCTCTTTCAAAACTCTTCATAAACCAGTTCGTAAAACAGTTCATATATATAACTTTCTCAATACCTTTCATAATTCGTTTCTCAAATCATTCTCAAATGCAAAATGGTAGTAATTGCTCGATCTTGATTTTTATGCACAAAACATGCTTATTAACTCATACAATACTCAAATCTTTATCACTTCCAAGACATGAGTTTATAAATTCATAGAAGAGATAGCACCACTCACCTGGAATCTCCAAAAATCAAGCAATGACGCTCATTCGAATCGACGATCTCGTAATCCTAATAATTAAACAAGAATCGACGTTAAAACCAACTAAAATGCTACGATAACTACGAAACGGCTAAACGACGCTTAAACGTTAATAGGACCAACTCAAAGGCGCCCACAAATTGCTCATCCAAAGCGATTATCCAAACCGTCCGAAATGCCGAGCTTGAGCGCGAAACTTGGTTGCGCCATAACTTTCTCCACTAAACTCCGTTCCAAGCGAGCTTATAGTCAAAAGAAAGCTCATTTAGAGCACTATAAGAACCCCAACTTTGCCGTCCCAAAATCGAGCCTAAAACCGACGAAAATCGGCCTAAAAACCGCTGTTCGCGCACTGTTCACCTTGTGCGGCCAACTTCGAAAATTCATATCCGGCAAACCAAAAGTGCAAATCGAGTTCCGTAAAATCTCATGTCCTCACAGCACCCTAAACTACCAATTCTATATATATTCACAGCTCAACGACTCAAAAATCGGATTTCGCCGCTCGAATAACACAACTCCGAAATTCGTCCCGGACGAACCATACTACAAAATAGCTACTCGACAAACCCCACCACTCTACAACACCATAAACCATCATTCCACACAAAATCACAGCTTAATAACTCCTCGATCGAGCCTCGCAAATTCAAAATCGATATTCCTTTAAATTTGTGCCCTAATTTCCGAAATCAATTCGATTAGACGAACAATTGGCTCGAATACTTACCAGGCGTTGCGATTCATAGTTGATTCGGCTAGTTGGAGTGTCCGGGTCGGCTATGCGTGTCAATTTCGCTCTCCTCTCTTCTTTCCCTCTTTCCTTCTTCACGGTCGTGCGTGCGTCTTCTCCTGCTCTCTTCGTTTACTCTGCTGGCTTCTGCGCTTCATTTGCTGAAGCAGAAATAAATTGGCTGGGATTGGGCTTTTAAGAGACATGGCTGGGTTTTTATGGGCCCAAATATTACAGGTCGAACGCACTTTAAATGGATTTTGATTCATATTTACATACATAATTTCCATTCACTTATCGATTTAAACTTTTATGTTGGATTTTTTTAAGTTTATGCTCCTTTTCGCCCCGTTCGTGTCAAATTTCATGTGCCGCTTGTAATGCGGCTTGCACGTGAGAGAGCGACATTTACATGCTCTTTTATACATATGTGATCTACTTCACACTCATGGATTAAAGCTTTTTGGTTGAATTTTTTTTATACGATATAAACGAAAATGAATGCGAATTATCAAGCGAGTAAAAAAACCATATGGGATAAGATCAATTATAATTGGAATTCATTAGACTACTCTCCCTCAGCTATTTCACCGGGCAAGACAAGGGAAGCGGCCTCTTCCGATCGACCGACTAAGAGCATGCCAATTGCCGCATTCAAAATCCGAAATGCAGAAGAGGTGGTGGTGGTTCAGGTACGATATCGCTTGCATTTCACCATGTCTCTGTTTTGCCTGTGTGTTAACTAAAATGTTCAAAAAGAAAGATGGACGAAAAGAAAAAAGGAAGAACAGAATGCTGTCATCCTGCCCTTTTGTAATCCAACACATATCCCAAAAATGTAACAACAATGTGGACGATGAACAGAGTTCTAATATTAAAAGTAATATAACAGAAATATTCAAAACTTAGGCTATGCCCGCCAAAAAGAAGAAATAAAACAGAAAAATCAGGTGAATAATCTTCTTCAAATCAAAACGCAGAAATAGCAGAACTGCTTTCTGCTCGAAAAGCTTAAGGATCAATCAATGACAGTCGATGTGGATCCTTTTCTTCAGAGATGACCAACAAGAAGTTCCACTTATGCACGAAGCCCCCTGTTCAGACTCACCATGCGGGCCGAAGTGTTCATCTGAGATGACCTTGCTGCAGACCCAGTCTGATACCTCCCCGATCCTCCATAATTAGAGTCCTGATATCGGTTGCTCGCGGTATATCCACCTGTGCCACGCAACTGCCTAGAATAGCCACTTCCTCCACCTTGGCCGGTTGTCTGTTGCCTCCCGCCACCAGCACTTCCTTGCCTTCCCTGAGTGAAAGACGAGCCCTCTTGCCACCTACCGCTACCAACAGCCGACCCAGCAGCATAGTCCTGTCCGTCTCTCCTCCTCGGTGGCAGATCCAAACCGCCGCCAACCCTAGCTTCCGCAGCCCTCTCATTACTTTCTGCCAGAATTGCCAGTTTCTCTGTAAGATGGAATGCCAAGGCCTGGAGCCTCGTGTGGTCAATGTCATGGAAGACAATGGACCCGGTCGTCTGGTCCCAGCTAGCAAGGAGCTCCTCATTGATCATCATCTTGCTGACAATGCTGTGCGTCTGTGCCTCCGAGAGGTCAAACATTTTTGTAAGATGATCCAAGCTCAATGAATGATAGGATGATGAATAGGTGAAGAGATAGGTCCTCAGAGCCTCCTCCTTAATCTTAGCCTTGAGCATCTCAAGGACAGTGTCCTTGTTCCTGAGGAGTTTCCAGATGTCAAGAGACTGGACAGTATCAAAGGCCTTCTGGAAGTCTCCCTTGCTCAGGGCCCTTGTCGCTGCCATTACATGGTCCCTCACATTTTCTGGGGGCCCTGTGAATGTGTGCCTTTCACTCACCTCGAGCAACCGTCGGAAGTTCTTACTTATGACTTTGCGCTTAGCATCGTGGCTGGTTGCTGCCATATTGGGGACTTCTAACAGCATGGCAGATATCAGATGCACCGCTTCGAGAAGCTCGAGGTTTATGTGCATGTGATACGGCATTTGACGTCTCCTTTCCAATCTTTCCTGAATGAGAAGAAAAGAAATTTCACAGCATGAGCTCCCGAACAAAACTAATGATCCTCTTATTTCAAATTTCCACCATAATTTTAGAAGAGGTAAAATCTAAGAGACTCTTAGACAAATCATATGTTAAATAAAGAACTTACAAAGAAGTTGATATTATGGGTAGACCAAACACCCAAACCCCCTCAAGGGATTTGTGAGAGGAAGAGGGGGAAGAAACTAAAGAGGCTAAAGAAGATCATTAGCATGGTATAACAGATCTTCCTCAGACGGCGAGAATCGGTATTCCACTAAATCAAAGCCAAAGGATAAGGTTTGCCAAAATTGAATAGCCTACTTGGAAGCTAATAGATCTTGTGCACAACCAATTATCTGGTAATAAATATGGTGTTATTCATAAGCGTGGATATACACAATCATGCAAAACGGGTAAGGACTTTGTACCTGCTCTGGGGTCTTCTCATGGTACCTACTTTGAGAGAAACCTTGTGCAAGTAACTCCTTCACCCTTCCACCTGAATATAATTCAGAAAGGCAACCATGTCCTTCAGCTATAAGGCCAACCCGAAATGCACACAGACCAAGCTGTGCCATAGCCCTGTTAAAAAGTATCTGGGTCGAAATGTCCATATGCTGGATGCTATCCTGGAGGCGACTCATCAACA